CAAGCTGCCGTCACACGTCAAATTCAAACTCAGAACTTGGATCCAACACTGTTGAACACAGATTGAAAATACCGATGTCTTTGTGGAAATTTCACTTGACTATCTGTCATTACGTAGCCAAAGCGAATGAGAAATTGGTGAAAGTCACTTCACCATGAGAAAGCATGCAGCGCATGCCCATAAATTGCGCTCGACAATAATGCATCATGTGTCGTGAGCGAAGTTTAAGCCAAACAATTCGAAATCAAGCTGTAGCACTGCTCCAGGATTGTAGATCACAACGATATGTAGCCAGACGGTTTGGACTATCCCATAAGGGTATATCTAACCTTTGGATTCGGTTCCAACAGACAAATTCCGTGAGTAATCATCCTCGATCAGGTCGCCCCAAAGCCTCCACATGACAGTACGACCAGTTCCTGTGTGTGACAGCCCTCTGGAACAGACACACCACAGCCAGATTATTATCCGATAGCTTACATGTGCACGTGTATCGGTATCAATACTTAGACGTCGACTGCGTCTCCACAGCATACGTGTACAACACGGTCCGATCCCTCTCAAGCCTCATCACAGACAGATCAGGCTACAATGGGCAAGACAACATCTGCAATGGGGGCATCACAAATGGTCAAAAGTACTCTTTTCGTATAAGTCTCATTTCAATGTGTTGTTCAATGATGTCCGGAGGCCTGTTTACCGACGCCAAGTTGAACGGTACATTGACGCTGCAGTTATGGAGCACGATCGGTTTGGCGGTGGATCATTGATGGTCTGGGGTGGCATCAGCATGAATGCTAAGGCAGACCTCGTTGTTGTGCAAGGCACTATGACGGGGCAGACACATTGAGACAACATCATTATGCCCGTTGTGTCACCGTTTCTCAGGGGTATGAGTGGTCGAACCAGTGTTTCAGGACGACAATGCAGTGCCACACAGAGCAAGGATTGTCACAGAGTGTCTACAGCAACACGGCATTCTCCCCTTATCTGAATCCGATTGACCATGTGTGGAAGTATATGCTAGAGTGTCACGTCCTGCCATGCTTCGTGACCTTGGGAACGCCTTGATACAAAAGTGGCAAGACATCCCTGAACATCAGATCGGGATGCTAATACGCGGGATGCAGTGGCGTTGGAGAGCTTGCACCTTGGCCAGAGGTGGTCATACCCGATGTTAGTGTTTGTGGGACCATCACATGTCGTTTGGAATATTTTCCGTTCTGGATAAAAAAAAATTTTACTTTTGATTATCGAGTGTGTTGCCTTTGTCACGTTGTGTACAGCTAATGTCATTAATTGTGTTCTTCATATTCCCAGAATGTGATAATCAAACCTTAGTTGTGTCATTGAAACTTGTTTTCTGTCATTAAAGGGCACAAATGTTGTTCACCATGAATAGCTATATCTAGAGTCTACACTTTTGACGCAAAGTGACGAGCCATCACTTAAAACTCCGACGTACGGAATTATCTCTACAGTATATTAACAAATCATCTTCAAATCAATCTTATCCTGCATACAATTACGTTTTCCATCCCCTTTATGAAGAACTACAAAAATAATTCTTCTCTTATTTCCCCATCTTGGAATAAGGACAAAAACTGCCATTTCTGCTGCTAATATACATCTTGAAAATATTTCTCCTCGTCGCCTTCTACCTCCTTGGCAACTGCTGAAGCCGGAGGTAGACTTAACATTAACAACACTAAAGAAATCCGAAACTAATCAACTAAGTTATCAACAGGATTACAATCAACTAAGACATAAATATGATTCCTACAAATCTATATTTACAGCTGGATCCAATGGTGGTAACGCAGTTGCTAGCGCTACTATCATTGGATCCAGAACCATATCGTCCAGGTTACCATTGGACAGTTCAATTTTCACGGCAGAATCAAATGCCATTTTGACAGCTCTTAAATATAATAAATATCAGTCTAGGCATAGGCAGTTCAGAATATTTTCAGACACTCTTTCATGTCTTCAGCCTTTTCAAAATATCAAGTACACATTCAGTTTTAATCGAAATTGCTGAATTAAATAATGATCTAGCTACTGGCCAATATGGCATCGTTTATGTTGGTTACCCAGCCATGTTGGAATCGTAGGTACCACAATGGCTGATGCTGTTGCAAAGACAGTCAAGAAATCTGTGACACCACTTCTTATCCCTTACTGTGATTAGATGGTACATCAAAGATCTTATGGAAAAGAAGTGGGGCGCCCAAGTAGGTATAAAAAATTACATCAAATTAAAGCAACTATCGGTTACACTTACTTGGGTTGTCAGTCCGGATTTGAAAAGGTCATTGTACGACGATGTCGTATTGGCCAGAGCAGACATACACATGAATATTTATTGAAAGGTGAGGATCGTCAATTTTGTATGAGAATTACGGTCCAGCATGTTCTGCTTGACTGTGTTGATTTTGCCATCACAAGGGAAGCAGAAGAATCGTAAGTCCCTAGGGTCCCTTGTTTGGAGGCCTAGCTTTAAAATTTGGTTGCTGGCGATCTCTAGCTCGTTTTTATCATATTTTGTTATGTCCGGTGATATCGTTTTTTCGTTCCATACTGGTTTTAAATATGTCTGTGATCCCTGTTTATTTTACTGTTCTTTGCTGACTGTTATTTTTAAGTACGTTTACACAATCGTATGTATGCTTAAATTGTTGTAGTCACGAAATGGCTGAAATACTCCCGATGTGACTCGAAATCTTAACTCACTCACACACTCACTTTAAGGAACACAACGTTTCGGGGTGTATGCTTACTCCTTCATCAGGTGAATAAATGCTATGAAGCAGAGAACATATATACATGTACCTGTTAGAATAACGAAAGTAATAAGATAAAGGCAAAAACTTAACAAGGGAAGCCAACAGTTAATTGGCGCTGATAGGTGATAAGCAATGGACAAATGGAAGCCAACACTTAAGACTTAGTTAGCGCTGATAGTTGATAGCAATGGACGCCATGACTCACACTTATAATATTATTTCTTTCATTGTCAATTGATAACAAAATAAAACTTAATTACATTTCTGATTGCATTGTTAACGATAAACTTCACATTTGTGAAAGAACTAACATGAATTGCATTAATACATACATTACTCATATGAAAATATCACTCTGCGAAGAACTGTGTACGTTTTCTTATTTTTAGCGCCCAACATAATAAAAGCATGAGATTGTTTTTCGAACACAATGTGTTACCTATCCTTGTGTTCATATACAAAAATGCCGTCCATATGGACGGTAATGTCTCAAGATTAATAATCTGGATAAACAAATCTCGGGTTCCACAAATTCTGAATATTTCGTTACACCTTGTATAGATATATAGACGTCACAAACTGTTCTCAATCATGCAGAGTTTCCAGACAGGTGGGATTTTGTATATACAAGACATGATATCACTGAATATTATTGGTCGCCTTAAATATTTAATGTATCATTGGGACAGGGTTTTATGAAATCATTACATGTAAAAATGGGAGTATTGGGAGTATTTGAATCGCTGAATAACGTCCCATAAACGTTGTGTTTAAACATGTTCATGATCAAGTACTCTTTGTATTACAGGGCCTTATGGTTGAGTTCTATAGGCCTTGTCGTCATTGTGACTTTGTGCACACTGATAGGGGTGCTCATACATGCATTCTACAAGGACTGTGACCCATTGCAATTCAATGACCTCGTATCTGGTTCTGATGAGGTGAGCTATCCAACAAAAATCATTGGTTGATGCATAAATATCTACTTGAAGCTGATAGAATTGATGTCAATACTGTGATGTTCACAGGTACTTGGTTTCAGCTACAATACCAAAAAAATATAGTGTTGTTTATTTGGGAAATTTTTCATTAAACGTACATTTACCGTCCTCTCGCGGCAAGCATAGATTACTTGAGACCTATTCTTGCTTTAAATGCCTGGATGGTAAGTAAGGCATACATGTATTCGTACCTTGATTCCCAGGATGGTACTTCAGACCTATTCTAACATTGATTCCGTGGATGATAAATGCGAAGGGGTTCGGGGCACGTCTAAGGTTCCCAACAACCTAGGGGGACTATCATGATCAGGTGGTCAGGCTAGGTGACTTGGTTGATTCCATGTTAGAATTGCGTGGATCAATATTCATGTTGTCTGTCAGAGGATTGCCAATAATTTACAGCCCGCCGTCATGTTGTTGGGATACTGCTGAGTGCGGCGTTAAACAAAATCCAAACTCACAAAATAGCTAAGGCAAATATAAAGTATAAAGGACGAGAACACCGAGCTGCCTCATTCAGTTTTCTCACAGTGGTTAGTTAGGCCCCGGAGTGCATCAGTTGTTGATATTTATAATCAAAATCTACAGACATCATCAAATATTGATAACCCTGTTCTTCACAACTTAAATGTTGTATATAAGATAATAAGACACTCAAATCGTGGTATTCTGTAATTATCCTTTGTACAATGCAAATGTTTTTGCATTTTCTTTTTCAGCTGCTTCCACTGTTTGCGATGGACATATTCGCAACCACGCCTGCTCTACCCGGCATTATTGTGGCATGTATCTTCAGCGGGAGCTTGAGGTACTGTCACTGGGAGAAAGGCAACGATAATGAATTAACGTTCAGCTGTATTAGACTGAAGTAGTGTAAAGTGTCAATTATGACAGAGGGCTCAGGTGGCCCAATCAAATGAAGCGACGAAGTTCCAGAATCAAATCCCACATCATTACTCTTAGTTTTCACCATTGATTTTCCATGTTCATATCAGTTGATGACTTGTAATGATTTGTTTCTATACATGTTAGTTTTTTAAATGTCCTGTGCATATATAATATTCGTTAGAATTGGGGCAAAGCTGTGGCAGCTATCTTAAGTACAGTTCCCCATACTCCACAGTACGCTGTCGTCGTGTCTAAACGCCCTTGCTGCAGTCATGCTGGAGGACTACATCCGGCCATACTGCTGCAGTACCATCACCGACTTCCGGGCCACAGTCGTCTCCAAATGTCTTGGTGAGTACATGTATAATCTTGAATACACACAAGTAGCACTCCAGGAAGCCAGTCTTGGTCTCTCAGACCTCGGGGGTATTATTCTTGGCCTGTGAGTATAATGTTGAATACACACATGTAGCACTCTGGAAAGACAGTGTAGGTCTCTCAGACCTCGGGGGTATGATTCTTGGCCTGTGAGCATAATGTCCCCGTTCTTTGGTTCCATACAACGCCTACGCCTAACACTGTGTTACCTCGAAATGTCCTCAGATTAACTAAAATACTGGTCAACTTTCTCAGTGAACCTTCAGCAAATAATTGATGTGTTACGATTTATTGCAGTTATACTGTTTGGAGCGTTGTGCCTGGCTTTGTCCTACGTAGTTTCATTTGGGGGAAACATTCTCCAGGTAGGAGAACATACAAATAGTTATTGAGAAAACAAAATTAATAAAAGACACACAATTTATACAGCATGCAAATATCAGTTCTCTTTAAATAAATGTACTTTACTGGTGAGTTGTAATTTGCAAAAATAACAATGTTGTCAAAATATGAAAAATTAAATATGGATTTATGAGAAACATGTGAAGTTATTCCCTAAATGCCCTAAATGTATGCCTCAATTCTAACTGTGAAGTATATATATATATATATTCTTCAGATGTGCTATTCAGTCATGAGTATCATAGACGGTCCACTGTTTGGCCTCTTTGTCCTTGGGATGTTCTGCCCCTGCGCAAATTCTGTTGTAAGTATATGTCTGACGTGTAACATGTAAACAGATGATTCTCAATTGTAAAGATAAATTGACAGATGACACCTTGAAATATCGATAGATAGCTTAATGCCACACTACACCCTCGATAGTATCGATATGCATAATTATAATAAAATTGAAAACATAATGTTCATTTACGTTTCTGAACAATGACTTTTTGTACATTACAGTGAATATGATCTCAATAGTCACCTCATCTTTGTAAGATTGACGGACAACAATTGATACATTGTGTTTCTCTTTGCAACTAGTTTTCCATACACGGAAATGTACTTGTGTATCGTGAGAAACATACAGTTAATGTAAAAAAAAAACGCATATCAACAGAGGACAACCCGATCAACAGATTGTTAATGAGAGCGAGAATTTATAAATATCAGCCTTATTATTGTGAGGAATACAACATCCGGAAGTATATGCTTACTCCTTCATCAGGTGAATGACTGCTGGAATGCAGAGAGCATATGTGTACGTGTAAAAACAGCAAACGTAATACGACCACAACGGTGGAAACATTAACAGGGAAAGCCATCAGTTAATTAGCGCCGATTGATTATTAGCAATGGACTAATGGAAGCCAGGAGTTAAATGAGCAATAGACACATGGAAGCAGGATAATTAGCACTGATTGGTAATTAGCAATGGACAAAGTGGATTAAATAGCCTAGAAAGGGGGATACTGCGACAGATAGAAGGTGGCACAAATTAAGTCCTAAACACAAGGTAAAGGAGTTCCCTGGTCACGGTTCAAGGCTGGCCGGTATCTATTGTTCTCAATGGCTTCTTGTCATTTCCTTTGACGCCAGTTGTTTTAGGTGGCAAAGACATTGGTAGTTTCCCTCATGATGGCATGGGTTTGGTTCTTAATGGTGGAAATTGCGGATTTTTGGTCTAATTAGTTGACATCACAGGTACTCTGCATCCCAGAAGTCATTCACCTGATGACGGAGTAAGCATATACTCCGAAACGGTGTGTTCCTCATAATAAATACGATAAGGAAATGTGAATAAAAAAATCAAATATATGTTTCATTGCAAGCCATCATATATTATCATTTGGTGTAGAAAAAAACCATATCGTATCATATAAACATAATTGAGTCATATCATATACACAAATGATAATACGAAAGTCAATCTAATTTGAGGAAATATTGATAAAATATTCAGTTTGTGGGCATCTACTTAACAGAAACGAAAGCACAATTAATTGGTTGTTTGTTATAAAGGATATCATAATTGATTTTTAAAATTTTGCTTTTCTTGGAATGTTCTGTTTTATTTTAGGGCGCTGCTGTTGGATATATCACTTCCTTTACATTCATGTTATGGATTTGTATTGGTGCGTACCTTAACGGTGTATCAACGCCTATGTCAAGTAAGTTCGTCAACGGATGCAACTGGAACGTAACTGGTTACAATAATACAGGTGTACACATTGCTGACAACTTCACCAACAGCGATGGCCATGCTGCTGAAGAAGTACAAGCAACGTATGTGGTCTTAGGGTTTCGTACTAGAAAGCCTGCTATTATGAGTTATGTTTCTTAAATGATAACAACGGATATTTTGAACTACATGCTCGGTTTCTATAAATGCTCGTGTGATCAATAGCTTTGTGTACCGATAAAACACGGGACTCCTTTCAGGGTGTGGCCGTCAGATATTTGACTTCGTCTATTTTCAGGGGCTACTTATCAATTTATGATTTGTCATACATCAACTACTGCGCCACGGGAATGTTTGTCACTGTCGTCGTCGGTATTACTGCGAGTCTTGCATCACGTATGTATGCTTGGTACATATATTGTCAATGGTGTACTTCCAACTTCATGTATTCACAAACGGGATTGTCCGTACATCCGTAACGTGTCCTCCTTTGCATTGTACACACAGTTTGGCCAAGCGGTATCCAGCGGGCTAATGACATTTTGCGAAATAAATCTACAAATGGAAACCTAGGTATTCTACTTTAGACTATCTGTTACTTCAATCAAATTACTGTAAATGATTTCCAACAATGTCACTATGTAAATTTAACGCTATAGATAAGGAGAATATGAGTTTGTGTAAGACAAAACGCTTTCATTGTGACGTCATGAAGAAACTTCGTTCCTGGATACAGATTGGCGACATTTCTTAGCAATTTTCATTATGTTCAAGAGAAAGGTGTTTCCTTTAATTTGATCTTTTTACGACAATACTCAAAAGCAACGCAACAACCTACGATCATGGGTTCTTATCCCCGCTCTCCCCGATTTTGTTTCTTGGTTTGTCAGCATGCTCGTGGGTTTCGCCAAAGTGGTAAACGTCAGAGACCTGCATCATATCGGACTTTCCTCCTACATTAAGCTGACAAGACGTGATAAACTGGAATACTGTTAAAAGCAGCGTTAAACCCACCACACTCACTCATATGGATTATGTCAAAACAATGTCCAGTGACATCTCGCCCAAAACTTGAGACAAATATGTTTATACGTAATGATTTCACAAAGCTTCTGCACATATGACAAAAATGCAAACGTTTCAGTCGCATGAACATGGTGCACATCGACATAACCCAGTGCCGTGATGGTGGTCTCAAATATTTACTTTAATTTCAAATTGGAAACATTCTTATCCTAAATAATATTTCAGAATGATGTTGAATATCAATATAAAATACATCGACACTTGTCTACAAAAGTCGAAATCATACTTCCGCAACCCTCGGACTTAACGTTTAATTTTAATCTGTTTTGAGATTGTCATCATTTTAAAGATGTAAATCAGGTGGTTTTGTGCCGTTAGTTGCTCTTGGAGACCGCCTTCGTGGTCTAGTGGATAGAGCTTCCGCCACGAATGTTGGTGGTTTGATCGCCGGTCGCGACAGACCAACATATGTTCAAAGTAAGTACTTATTGTTACTCATGAATAAGGGGATAAAACAAGGACTGGTCAGTTTGGGGTTTAATGTGTCTGAATGGGCTGCACACACACACACACGCACGTGCACGCGCGCGCACGCACACACACACACACACACACTGTGCCTGCTCTTAGGTATATTGTGCAATAATCTTGAACCCCATTTCCCCTAACCTTTCACCACACTTTGCTTCCCATTCTACAGTAAGATTACGACAAGTTTAAAGTTTGGACGTCTTTGTGCCGGTGCGACAGGATGCGTCAGTAAAGTTGTGTCGATGTATTGTTTTTCAGGATGGTTTGTTCCCGAAGCTCCTGTATCTAGCCAGTACAGCCGATCTATTCCAGATGAACTGTTCCCATGTCTGCCCAATAAGGTTTTGAAGGTGTTTCGCTGCAATACACAACCAGAACAGGTATATACGAGTAGAAAACCAAATCACCTTTAATTTAGATATATGTTCAGTAGAAAAGAGAGAAAAAAATGTGAAGTATATATAAGTTGATGCATTGACCAAAAATCACAGAAAGCAGGATAAGTACTGACAATTTATTCTTTATACTCTTGTCTGTGTACACTTGACACCATTTAATGATCTTGATATCCACAAAACATCATCTCAAATGTACATATGTATTTCGTGCTTTTTTTTATTTTTTTCCAGCAGTACGAAACGACTGAACAGATCCCATTCGATGCCACAGCCCACGCCATTTAACGAAGCTTTATATACGATCACGCACACGAAAGCCACAGGCATGATATTTGTCAATTCTTGGTTTGAACAAAATTTTCAAAATGAAATTTTGAGGAACTGGCCCATGCAAGACATTGAACAGCCAAAGTTCTAAATACGTTGCAAATTGTTTTAAAACAACGTCATCTATACAATTAAATACGTTTGCCCTTTGGTGAACGTTATAAAAAATGTGACACTAATGTATCAATACACGATTACAGACACTTGTTATTCAATATACCAAAACCATCGAAAGATTATATTGATATTGCCAGTTTCACAAATCTACATAACATCACCTTTAATGACACATTTTTGCTGAAGAAAACATTCCTACAATATTACCAATGACAATATGTTCTGTGATGTTTCTTGGAAAATACTCATCTTTACTGTTTCAGAAATGAGATCTGGACTTGTTTACATTGAGCATGGTTGACAATAGTTTATGTAGATTTTGTAAAGAAATGAATGAGAGTTGTTGTCATGTTTATTCGGAATGTAAAGAAACACAAGCTATGGATTGACATCAACACGTTTCTGAACACATGTGTGACAGAAAATATTAAATCTACAAAGTACTTAGTCTGGTTCATAATAATTCATAATAACCCATTAATCAATGAGATCATAATATCTGGAAACTATATATATGTGTATGGAATGGAAAGAACCAAACCGAAAATATATAATTATATAAACGACTTTGAAGGATATCTTTTCAGAGGAAAAATCCTCCGCTAAATATCCAAATCAGTAACAAATTGTAAATTTTTCTGTTTTCGACCTTTGGAAGTAAGAGACCTATAAAAAGTAGTGCATTGCACGGTGAAACAAACCAACAAATAAAATAGTCCACACACACACACCAAAGCACGTACGCATGCACACATATGTGTTCTTGAACATTAAAACGTTTGTGTCACTAACTAAATTTAATTAAGGAGAATTCTGTACATCAATTTACACTTGCATATATATCATCAATGTGATGTAATATCCTCTTACAACTCGGGGCATATATCACATCATGAATAGTGTATGTGTGTTGTATGAACTGAGTGAAATAAATAATAACCGTAAGACCATCCACATCATGTCGTGTTTCTCAACTCCATACCAAGCTTCAGGCGGAGAGGGTGAAAGCAAATATTTTTAAAATGACAGTTTGAGAATACAAAAGATAAGATATCTTTGGTTTAATATACGAGGGGTGACTGGAAGGTTGTGAGTGGATGGGGGTTAAAGGTCGTTTTCGAGGCTTTTGTACGTATATAGCAACGTGAATGTTTGTGTCCATGTCCGTTTGTACTAATGCCGGTTCTTTAGTGCCACCTCAGGGGCGGTCAGGTAGCCTAGTGGTTAAAGCGTTCGCTCGTCACGCCGAAGACCCGGGTTCGAATCCCGACATGGTTACAATGTGTGAAGCCCATTTCTGGTGTCCCCCGCCGTGATATTGCTGGAATATTGCTAAAAGCGGCGTAAAACCAAACTCACTCACTCACTTGTGCCACCTCACTGATATTCGCAGCCGCAGCGGACCAGGGCTACCCCACTGAGACACATTATGAAACATGTTTCTATTGTAAGCCATTACATAATAAAACATAACGTAATGAAAGTAATTTTAATGTTATCAGTTTTATACAGGTTTGAAAGTAATGGAAATTAAAAAGACCACGCCCCAACTGTTTCCATAGGGTTTAAAAGGGATGCAAATGACAGGATTTTTTACATAAACACCAAAACGTGAGGAAATGGCAGTGGAAATGTTTGGTTGTAATGCAACATATCTCTAAAGAAATGATCCGGGTAGAAAAGGTCTTCAGCAACCGATTCTTGCGATAAAAGGCGACAAAGGGGATCAGGTGGTCAAGGCTCGCTGACTTGGTTGATGCATATTATCGTATCCCAATTGCGTGGATCGATGTTCATGATGTCATTAAATGGATTGTTTGGTCCAGACTTGATTATTTACAGATTGCGACGTTAAACAAACCTGTTCAAGCTGCTGTCAGTGTTGAGTTAATTAACTCGCAGTGGACTTAATGGGCTGTCTAAGCATCTGTTCAGTATCTTGTCAAAGTGTTGTTTTAACTACTCCCCTTTTATTACTTTAATACAGGTGCTTAGCTGAGCCGCTTGTGTATTTGCTCTGATTTAATTAATCAGAGATCTTTGTCAGTGCAGATTTGGCTTATTTGATCCCTCTTATTGTCATCTATTAATACAATTAGCTGTTCATAATACACATGTGAACCTATTATCACGTTTTAATTATTACTTTATTCACACCATGAATATGACACCACTGATCACTGGAGCTCATCTCCTGAAATCCATCTATCCATAACAGTATTGTGGTCTGTTATCTGGGGATAAATATTTTTCTTTCGTTCTGTATTCCTATCTTGCCAATATCTTTCCAAAATACAGTAGGACTAGAAAGTGAATCACCAAGTTTCTTGTTTCTTTTTTTGGAATATTCTTTTATGCTGTCTGTGCAGCTTGTCAAAAGACTTTCTCTGGCTTGACGAAATTCCGCTAGACGAGATTTCTTCGTGGCCTGACTGCTCTACTCCTTGATACGTGTCTTTTCATTTTCGCATACATTGTTCCAGGAGTTTTGCAATTCTTCGCACCAAGTTTTATCTTTCATATCTACTCTCACTGTATTTATCGGACCATTTTTTATCCAATAGTTTTTGTTGCACAATTGATTCATCTGTTTCTTTTATCCATTTTAGTACATGATCTAACTGTTTGTTGTTGGGGAAATTTTCAGGAATATTTCTCACATCATATTTGATAAAAGTACAATCTTGTGGTGATTTATGGTCTTGAGATTTCACGGCTCTTCTTTCACTTTTTATGTCACATGGCGTAATGTCCATGTGAAGACCCAAAATCAAAACAGAGTGGTCTGGTGGAACAATAGGTGGGGACAGTTACCAGAAATTGTCAGATCACTTATTCGGTACACATACTGGAGTTGTTCATATGGTGTAGTTACATAATCCACTACAGACTTTCCTTGACAGGATAAGTGTAATCATGTTTCCCAACGCTTCCATTCACCACACACAAGTCGCTTTCCGATAGAAAATCCACCAAGGTTTCCCCATCACGATTTACAACATTATCTATTATTTCTCTGAGTTTTACATCGTCAATCCCCACTATTATGTCCTGTAAATGTCCTTATCTTGCATTAAAGTCTCCACGCAGATAGGTAATACCTCTATTTGGATAAGTTCAGAACTGGTTTTGAAGATCCATAAATAAATGTTCAGTGTCAATTATCCTCCTGGAACTAATTTGGGGAAGATAACAAACACAGATCCATAGGTCTGCTTCAGATTTCTGTCAATTCTTTTGCATAATATTCCTTCGGTGTCAAAATCTTTTAATTTTCTGGTGTATGGTACAAGTCCATTTTTCACAAGACACCCAATGCCTCCAGGACCCCGTTTAGCACGAATGTGTAAGTTCTTCTCGTTTTGACCAAGCCAACTATAATTATCTATACAAACTACATCATCCATGTACAAATATGAAATCAAATAACTTAGTCCTTAGTCCTCGCCACTTGAAATTGAATCACGAACTATCGCGATTTAATAAATTAACGAAGATAGCTGCATATGTGTGTTAATACTAACACAGCAAAAACAAGCCTTTTCATAAAAAGGAACATTACTAACATTACAGTTGTTGATACAGAGAAGATACTCATCAATCATTAGTTAGATTTGTTTTGCTAGTCAAACTTAGTTTGCATTTAACAATTAGCATTAAGATATATGCTAATCTCTCCTTTTCGTAGTGATGTATTGTATTTTGATTATCATTATCTAGATCTAAAATACGTAGTGATACCTGCTGATTTTAGCATATCAATCTTTAGTTAGACTTTTTAATTTAACGATTAATTATACAATAGGTTAGTTGACGTAGATTTCACCTAATAATTAGCATGATTAGCAGGAAGATATACATGTATGCTCATTCATAATACCGGTACCTATATTTTCCAAGGCCTCAGTAAATTTGATTTTCCTTTATGATTTAAGTCGCCAGTGGTCTCTAGCCAGGTTTTACTTTCTAATAACTCATGTATTGAAAACGTCTTTGTTTTATTATTGCTCAGGTAAGTTTTATGTCTACACTGTGATAATTACCTTACTGTTTTACAGTCCTTTGACGACAGAAATTTTAATATAATCAATTTGTTCTCATCGCGATATGGCTACAATATTGCCGATGCGATGTCAAATTATAACTCACTCACTCACTCACTTTATGATTTAAATATCTAGATACTCATAGGTGGATTTTAGGTGTCAGATCCAATAGGTGGATAAGACTGATGAATGGAGGTACATGTATTTGTTTTTTTGTTTTTCTCAATTTATGTTCTTTTAATGCTATCAAATAAAAATAAACGCAAAGAAGTAATGAATATTTATCGTAAAAATAAATTTGACATAATTTGCCTTCAAGATATTCACATCTCTGAGGAAAATGAAACAATTGTGAGAAATGAATGGGGCCTACAAAGTATTATAGCTCCTTTAAGATCTAATGCTAGAGGTTAGCCATTCTGTTTAACAATAACTGTGAAATCGATATACATTCATATAAAAAGGATAAAAATGTAAATTTCCTAATTGTTTCACTAAATATTGATGGAATTGATATGGTAATTGCTAATATTTATGGCCCTAATAATGATGATCCAAATTTTTATAAACAATTATTTACAGATATGCTAGAATTTGACAATGACTCGGGTTATACATGTATGTGGTGATTGGAATTTGGTAATAGATCCAAACATAGATCTTGAAAATTATAAACATATCAACAACCCTAAAGCGCGAAATCTTATTATAGAAAATATGGAGAGATATAATCTTCATGATATCTGGAGAGAACTGAACCCTACTTTTAATTAATATACCTGGTGGAAAAAGAACCCGCGACAACAAGGTAGACTTGACTTCTTTTTAATATCAGAAAATGTAAGTAACACTAGATGCAAATATATCAGCAGGCTACAAATCGGATCACTCAGCCATCTCTTTAACCTTATCCACATCTGTAAACAAAGAAAAAGGGAAGGGTTATTGGAAATTTAATTCATCTTTGTTATATAATAAGGAATTTTGTGATATGGTTACAAAAACACTTGAAGAAGTTAAACTTGAATTTGCCTGTAATGACCAGGATAATGTTCCTGTAGAGCTTTTAAAATTAAAATACCCAGCAACAGTTGTATTCGAAACCTTCTTGATGAAAGTTAGAGGAAATTCAATTTTCAATATCATCTTATTTGAAGAGAAAAAAAATCAAAGAAAAATCAATCACATGAAAAAGATATAAATGATTCTATGGATTGGCACCTCTATTTTGAAACCTGATTCACGTTTCTCCAACTGTCTTGTATCCATTGATTTGTCTGATAATAACCTATTAGGCGATATGATGTTACTTTTTAGTATATACTTTGCACCACATATTTCGTTTGTTAATGTTTCAAACCATTTCAGGAAAAATGAGTTACTTCAAAAATGCCTAATTACGAATTTTCTTCATCAGTACCAACCTTACGTTTATCGTTTCCCCCAACTCTGAGATCCCTGTACATCCACGGTATATTAAGTGACATAGGGGAGTTAAATAGTAAAATCGTATTTTCAAACGCAGTATCACTCCGGAGTTTTATTTTTGCTTTCAATGGACTTGAAGCTTTTCAGTATGGTGTTTATGGTTTAGAAAACCTCACAGAGCTTGATATCTCGGGAAAGTCACAAAAATGAAACCAGATACGATGAGCTATTTCACGATTCTTAAAATTTTAAAAATGTCTCAAATTGGACTTGACAAGAACTTTCTTTTAAATCATGGAAGTGAAGTATTTCGACCGTTAATAAGGTTAGAGACGATCGTTCTTAGTTATAAAGATGTCGCAGTTATGGATCAGAAGATATTTTCCAATAACCCACTGATCAAGATCGATCTACCATTTAATCGCTTTGAGGCCATTCCCTTTGATCTGACAACGACATCTTCCCTGTATGACCTTGACCTCAGCTTCAACTCGCTCCCTGTTCTGTCAGAAACAGAGATGACCCTTGTTGATGAGCTGTCACCCAGACACAATTTTTCCCTGAACCTGAATGGCAACCTTTTGTCCTGTGGCTGTAACAATCTTGGCTTTGTGCTGTGGCTTTTCTCGTCAAACGCAACCGTGAAGAACGTAGACGACTATATCTGCGTGCTAGATAATGGACAGATTGAATCTCCATTATATGTTTATAGTCATAACGAAGCAATCTGGAGGCGTTGTTCAAGTCCATTTTGGCTTTCTGTTTGCATTTCAGGTTTTGCATTGCTCTTCTTCTTCTTAACGGTAATGTATGTCATAATTCAAAAGAAGACTCTACTTTTCAACATTTTACTGCGATTATTTGGCTTTGTAAATGTAGCAAAACCATTGAGACGGACTAATTTCCCAAACGATGCCAACATCGGCCACAGTGACTGCGATTATCAGTACATCTGTCACAGAGAGCACCTGGAAGACAGACATGGAGTCAAACTCTTCCTGAAGGACAGAGACACCATCCCTGGAGGACAAATAGCTGACGACATCATCAACGGAATAGATTCCAGTTGGAAGACGCTCCTTATTCTCACTCAATCTTTTGTAGAGGACCAGTGGTGCAGCTTCATCGTTAATCGTACTGTGTATTCCTCCACCAGAATGCCAGTTGGTAGCATCCTTCTTGTGTTGTTTGAGGACGTGAGACGAGATGACATCTCCCCTGCCTTGCTGAATGTTGTGGAGGAGAGACACATCTTCTGTGTGGACAGATACAGGGACGATGAAGAGAGGCTGTGGGAAGAAATCAGCCAGTGCATCAAGATGGATGGGGATTAAAATATGCGTTTATAACATATACACAAATGTCCTAGGGATAAAAATATTCGTATCCATTTCGAGACCAAACAAAATTGACAAATTCAAGAAAACCATTCACCAATCACTGTGAGGATAATGGTGGTGAAGGAAGACACTTTATTACCCATATGGGCTCAAATATGCAGAGTAATAACTTTTTGATATTTGCACAGTGTGCAATTAGTGATTCTCGAAGCTGATTGGTCAGTTGAACAAAGAGAAATTTTCATTGGACAACGGAACTATTTTTTTCTCATCACATTCATTCATAAAAGCACGCCTTTCCCTTCAGATGATTTACGTGCTACAATCTCACTGATTCGAGATTTTTATGACAAGAAACATAGTTTCATATCAACAACATTATTCCACATTATTTATTTTTCATTTATTTCCATGATTTTCGTTTTACAGTAAAAACCAAAACTACGTCTACGTTTGTAAACAAACATTTGACACCTGTCAAAGTAAATGACCTCGTTAAAGCGGACGGAGATCTGACTGACATGAAGAGTTATTCGTATAATTCAACCTCTGAACACATTAAATGTCTTTGTTGTCAAAACTGCATATGGCCAGATTGAGGTTCCAAGATTCAGATTGTGATGTTGCCAGAAACTGTTTCTGGTGCGCCAAGATCAACACAAGCAAATCCGGGTTTGCGTCTGTGTTAGAGGACTTGCTGTTGGGCGAATCTTGCTACCACCCGAATCCCAAAACCGGACTTAGTACAGACAGGTTTGCCTTTGTGAACGATGATGACATCGATAACTGCCAATGAAAATGAAAACACAATGAAAAAGACTAAATTTGACAAGTTGACATGAACTTTAAATTTATACAGGTAAGAAAAACATTCTTCTTTGTAAATTTATCATTTCGGCATGCACATCAGACGGTTCAGAATTAGCAATGTCTACTTTGAAGGAGATGAAGGGTAGCATAGAATGTTCCTTTGGCGACAAGATTACCAACATCTGGTTGCGAAATCGATGCACTTTGCTGAACTCGGATAGGTTTTGAAATCAAACCTAAAATAATTAAAAATACAAGGAAAAGAAAACTTACCGCAGCGAGCTGATCCTGTGTCCGATATTGAACTAAATGAACTCCGTGAATGCGGACAGCTTGTCACCAAGTCTCCAGATACCGTGTTAGTCTATCAACAGGTAGATTCTATTCGACCATTATGAATCACATCAAAATATCAACAAACTCCCGTCGTCTGACTGTGTCTACTCCACAAGCTTGATTGACAAGTCTTCCTAAAATCCCACATGCACATGTTTCCATTCAGTGACACTTGTCTCAAATCACACAGGATGTTTATTTAACTTGTTGTCCGGATTAAACTGTAACGCCGGTTCTCTTGTCATTCCTGGTTTCGGCTGTCTCATAACTGGGTCAAGTCGGGTCATTCATTCCGACACTGTGACAGCAATCGTACTTTTCAAAGTTTACCTTCTTTTCGTAACGTTTCTCAAACAAACAAGACTTCTGTACATTCCGTCTATGTTGAAGTTAAAGGTTTTGGCATTTTTCAAATGACACCTTAAAAATTTGACAGGTTTTCCGTGTTTCCTCTTCTCAACGTGAAATGCATGTCTCTGCCGATGCACAACGGGGGCTGTCTGTCAGCGACGAGATCTTGTCAAAACAAGCCTTGATTAAAAAACCTGATTAACCTTTTTGGAAACTTGTCTTCCTTTATCAATGCTAGATAGTGTACGCTGTGTAAATCGGACAGAAATATAACTGCATTAATGTGATCTTTATAGTTTTTTAACAGAACTATAATTTTCACGCGTAACAACACGTTAATTGAGTAATGCGATTGGAGGGAATGGACAGTGTTTTTTCACACGCGGATTGATACAAAACAGCTGATTCTTGATCGCCGACAGGTTTTTCCACTTGAAACGTCTTTAATATGATTATGGGTAATAAATAGAATAACCCACGCGAGAAACTTACAACATTAATTTCACGAGTGACATATTTTACGTAATCACTCCTACCTCGTGGGTTATTCTATAATTATTTGATTTATGTGTATTATGAATTTATGTGTAATTGTCTTTTATTCTTGTCATTATTACCAAGTTTGGAGGGCATTGGTTTTATCATAATTGTTACTTGTTTGCGATATATTTCATTAGTGCTCGGGTTGAATAGGTCCTGAGCACTGTTTTGCTTCTGGTGAAAGGCGACTACATTTTAACTTGATCAAGTGGTCAAGCTCAGTGACAGGGCTGACTGCCTCTCATCGTCTCCTAATTGTGTGAACTGTTGCTCATGCCGTCAACTACTGGCTTACTGGTCCAGACTCGAGTATTTAGCGGTCGCCGCCGTAAAGCAGAAATATTGCTGACTATGGCGAAACACTACAAACACATATCTTTTATTTTTTAGGCTTCTTTATGCCCATCAGTGAGTACGCCTCCTTTACAAATCTTACAGCAGTATCACGACTGGAACACACATGTACCCATGAGGAGAATCGTTACCATGTACTTGGAGTGACGAGCGAACGCTTTAAACACGAGGTTACTCCCTCGCCCTATTTCCATGACTGAGTGATCATTCAATGTTCAAATAAACATTTTCGCAATAAACCTTATCGACACTATGGACACTGTAAATAAAACTATATAGACATTTTACGTAATGATAAACGTTCTTTGTGAACATCTAAATATGACAGCTGTCAAGAGGCTTGTATTGACAAAAAAAACTTAGAATTAGAAAAAATGAGAGGTTTGGTTTACCGGAAATAGTATGTATCAAAAGGATGTAGGCTCCGGTTTGTGTCCACATGGTTGTGTCGGCAACACAGTACGGTTTGTGGCAATATACTTTACAATTACATGTTCCGAGTGAATAAAAGTTGAAAGCTTAGATTCTTGGCGAGGATCATTTAAAATTATTTCACGAGACACAGATAATCTGTAATTTCGAGTTTTATATAACCCATAGTCCTTTTTGAGCAGTGTATTAAACCTGTTCGTTTCCCGATCAGTGGAGTCTCGTGAGTCTTTTGTTGGAACGATGTTACATTAAATCGTTGGTGACGTCATGAACGATGGATGAAGTCAAAAGCTCATGCATTATTGAAAAATGTATTGCAAGGAAATATATTTGAAAAGGAATAGTTACCTTTGTCAAAATTTGTAATTGAAAGTTAAACGTTTGTTTAAATTATAATATTGGACCGCCTCCGTGGTCTAGTGGTAGAGCGTCCGCCCGTACACACACACGTACATGCACGTCGCTATATAAGTGCAATAATCTTGGACGCGATGTTAAACCCCATTTCACCTCACCTTGTTATAGGGCGGTCGGGTAGCCTAGTGGTTAAAGCGTTCGCTCGTCACGCCGAAAACCCGGGTTCGATTCCCGACATGGGTCCAATGTGTGAAGCCCATTTCTGGTGTCCCCCGCCGTGATATTGCTGGAATATTGCTAAAAGCGGCGCAAAAACCATACTCACTCACTCACTCACCTTGTTATAATATTGGAAAGTGTCTGAAGCCCTCATACAATTTTAACTTTTGGTTTTTTCTTGACTGCATTAAATATTTGTCCTGCTGCTGACCTGTCATATGTCCCATCTATGTACTTTGTTGGAAATAAAAAAGTATATTGGAATAAAATGGATGACGTAATTTTCAATTATTTGTGACAATATTTTCACATGTTGACACGTTGCTCTATCCTTTTCACAAACGGAAAACAAACGAACAGCTCCAGCTAACTAGCCAATCTGTATGAAGCAAAATATGATACGCAGCGAAAATGACTGAAATCGTTTTCACCTATATCTTTGCCTCAATGGGTAATATTTATAAGATACTACACGAGCTTCAATTTAAAAACAAGTTTATGTCCCGGGTGAAATAGTGTTCAGTTTTACACGAGGTTTATCGAGGGCAGACTGAAATTTATTTCACCCGGGACATAAACTTTATAATTATTAAATTGAAGCTAGTGTAATATTATATTTATTACCACAGGTGTAATTTAAAGGAGATTCAACAAAAACAAACAGTTTCAGTCTCGTCAGTTGAGCAACTTAGAGAAAGCTCAAGGTTGACCAAACCAAGTCATGTCATGGCTCTGTGAAAATGGTTTCTCTTTTATATTTTGTCCAGGAAAGCTGAACGACAAAAATGCCCTGTCTCAGCTCAAGTACGTAGTAGACTAGACAACTGTGCATACACAAGAGACGAGTTCCAGTTTGACTTCTGACATGTCATTTAGAGGTCACCAAGCACTTCTGCTGAAAATATCGACATCAGCAAAGCTGATGAAAAAACAGTGTGTCAAGCGCGAAAGCCATCACTGCAAACCTTTACAAAATACACATATACTGTCGGAAATGCTTCAAGGACATTTTATCGGATGTTCACTTGAATACCTACATGTATTCGTCGTATTGAGCCCAGTCGAAATAAAATGTCTGACGTGGCCAAACTTTCCCGCTGTAAGACAGGCGGTGATGCCAGCTGAAAACGACCATGTATCAAGGACTGGAGTGTAGTATGAATCGGAATTTCTGTTCGGATTGGCAGAGTCAACATAAGGTAATTTGACCAAGCAGTTTAACTTTAGCTTCAGGTATATCGATGATCTGATATCGTTCAATAACAATCCAATAGCCAATTCCCTTCAACTGATTTACCCAGTTGAACTAGAAATAAAGGAGACCTGAGAGACCGCCTCATCTGTTTCATATTTAGATATATGCATAACGATTCAGAGTGACAAAACACTCTCCACAAGACTGTATGACAAAAGGGATGACTTCAACTTTCCAACAGTCAAGTTTCCCTTCATGTCGAGCAATATTCCAGCCTTTGGAGTTTACATTTCGCAACTTATGAGATAATATCGAGCATGTTCTTTCTACCAAGATTTCAAAGATCGTCATACGACTCTTGCTCAGAACTTGATCAAGGTTACACAATTCAAGGCCTCAGTAAAGCTTTCCACTTATTTGGGGGACATTTCTAAATTTGACGCGACCCCACATTCTATGTTTAATGGTCATTAACGATCATGCATAAGTTTAGTGTACTTGGAGCTTGGAGCTAGCCCCAGTACGATAGCAAAAGCAAAAATATTTAATGTCAAACAGCACGCGTTGCTTTTCGGTGTTCTTCACAACATTTTAGAGAATAATTTGGTTTCTAACTTTTCAGGTTTCTTATTTGTAATTTGTAGTATGTCAGTTGATGGGAAATAGTTCTACTCAAACACAAACCCTTCTGTCATCCTGAACCGACACACGTTCGTTCATCGGAATATATAACCAGCTGCTAAATAATCATTTAAATAAGACATTGTTCTTCTGCTTTTGTACTTCAACATTTAATAATGAAATTAAAAGTTAAAAATTACTTTAGTTTGGTTTCCTCTCGTTGCAGTTTCAGCGAAAACAAAAATAAAAATGTTCTTGTGATCGAAATATGAACGAACGAATCGAATGTAGATGAGTAGTCCCACTGTTCCCCCCCCCCCCCCCCTTACCCCCACCCCCCCCCCACCCCACCCCCCCCCCCCCCCAACCCCCCTTTCTCTTAATACAGTTTAATATCCCTTTATAATAACTCGCATAATGACGTGAACCAGACACACAGACGAAACAACTCCAAATTATTCGTTAATACTATGTATATATGTACATATTTGAACATATTTCATCATTATATTTGCTGTAAATTACTTATTATACATGAACAACGCCTACATTTCAAGCATGTAACAACATGAGACATCCGGGTCCATAGTGTTCCAGTAATGTTAAGGCGTTAAACCCAACTCACTCACTCACTTAATGTTAAATGCAGATTAGCTGAACTTCCAAGCTGATTTGCTGAGTGTGCGGTTTCTAAGCACAACTGTACACTCAGATACTGTATCTAAGGCCAAATAAGTATTGTGTCTGGTCTTTTGGTCTGCCTAAAATGACGCGACAAGTTTCGTATTGGTTTTGTTTGTTTGTTGTTTAACTCTGCACACCGCAATATACCAGCTACATGACGGCGGTCTGTAAATATCCTAGTCTGGACCAGATAATCCAGTGATTGAAATCATGAGCATCGATCTACGCAATTGGGATACGATGATATGCATCAACCAAGTCAGCGAACCTGACCGTCCAATCACGTTAGTCACCCCTTGCGACAAGCATAGTCGACTGTTACGACAAGCGTGGGTTACTGATTTTTCTAACCGGATATTCACGGGTTTCGTATTGGTATTTGTCTGCAGGAACAGAATGTACTTTTCGCAGGGATACATAACAGTTCAGTGATGTCTAAACAACACTCGACAAGCACAAAAGGTATTACGTCCTTCTCCCACAGCCAACCTACAAAGGTTCAAAACTAGTTTTTTTAGAATCAGTTGTCCGACCAGATTGAGTATGCAGTGAGGATGCGGGCAGCTATGATTGGGTGATATGGTGTAAGATTTATATCAGTTATATAAGTTTTACATGTACATCCACACAGTAATTAAGACTGACTATCTTTTTCAATATTTACTTCTTTATTTACTTAAATATACTGAATGGGACCACAGATATTTTCAAGTACGTGACATTTGGTAACAACTGAGTTTGTTGGTGCGTTCTACTCAGAAATGGAGCTGGCTAAGCTAGCCACATTTTGTGAATTTAGTGCAGCCTAATTAAGGCCATGCTTCGTGTACATGTACATGTAGTGGCTGTTGAATGCCTGGTGTGTTTGAAATAAATAACGTTACACGAGGCAAGGGAGTTAACTGACTGCAAAAAGTCCAGTTTCCACTCTTGCCGTACTAGACTGGAATATCCAGGCTCGATCGTAGCGCCACCAGTCGCTTTTACGAGTTATGCCCCTCCTATTGACCAATCAGATTCTACCTCTCATATCACTTGCATTTGCTTCAAACAAAATGGCGTCACCAAGTCAAGACGATCTGATCGATAATCAAAATCTATATTGTGATAAAACGGGTCTTACTTCTCAAAGTGCATCAAATCACGTGAGCGCCTTGATTTTAAACATGAAAATATTTGGACAATATCTGCTGACGCCGAGTTGGCGGTACACATGCTTTGCAAATCCTGCAATCGACCAAATCTGCACGGCAGTTTACGAACCGGATGTAGATTTCGTTACGCGATTTTGATTGGACTATGCATAGACTCGTTAGTCCAGCCAAAATACAACTTCATAAGTCCAGCCTAGTTCGGCAAGGGTGAAAAATGGACTTTTATAGTCAGCAAACTCCCTTGTCCCAGGAAGGTGAAGTATATGGGAAAATATTTGGTCGTGTGTAACCTAGAGGTACCGTGCGTCTGGTGCCGTTTGAACTTTCGTTTGGGGGAAAGCAGTAAAGAGTTACCTGCGCTTGGTCCGGTAAATAAAAAATGAACAGAGGCTGGCGGTTGAAAATGACGCGAGGGTGGACCAGAAACAAAATCCTTTTATATCGGCCTACATGTATAGGCGCCTTATGTCGTTGATGTACCGTATGGCCTTCTGGACGTCATGCACAGCTCAGCAGTGTGTTATCACTAAGGGCCATCACATGGTCGGGCCTGTCTGGATCTACACCAGTGTAGCAGTCCACTGATACAGTAATGGAGGTAAGAGATGGACCACGGAGACCAACTCAGTCTCAATATATGTCTAAAAGAACCAAGAAGTTTGTTCGACGTTTCGTCAGGGGATTCGCAAGCGGTTTGGCGCTGTATTCGGGATTTAAAACTGTCACGGCACTCACGAAAAATCCGTTCCGGCGCGGGTAAGTTCAGTGAATACTTGAGAAGGCTGATCCTCACACCTCAATAGAGATTGGCAAAAAGTGGGCCATTGTACTGTATGAGCTCCGCCTCAGTCGTAACGTTACATCATGTCACGATTGCTAAACAGTGTGACATATTTATATAATACTGTTCATGTGAATGATAAAATTTGAGATATACTGCCTACTGTATAATTACTGTATGTCCTACAACGCAGGTCAAATTAAGCCTTAACGCATGATCTGGGCGAGTTTTCTGTGATTAGCCACGCACAGATCAGTAAACAAAGGCCAAGTGGCATGATTTTCACATGGTTTGTGCGATCACCTCCGCGCACCGTGCACCTTGTACCCACTTGTTAATTGACTGTTACATTGAAAACATTTACTGGTATAAATATAGACGACACGTTGATAGCGGGACACATCCACTAAACAATCTCGGGGTCTGTTCAGATAAGAAGATTAGCGTCGGTAGTAACTCGTGAATGTAAACATTCTTTCCGACTTTGACCTTGTACACCTTTGTTGACGTAAACGAATTTGTAAATAAGAATTTCGAATTTTAAAAGTCATATAAAATATAATTTGCTATCTTTACTTTTCACTCTTCAATGTAACGTTTTTATAGGAATAATGATAGTGAGAACGAGCTGTTATTGAAGTTTCTGAGCAACAGTATGTGAATTGGGGGCAGCGGCCTGTAAATCTCAAGTAAGGCACAGTAGGTAGGTACTGTAGGTAGTCCGCAAGTTGAAAAGTGTATATTACTGTAGGTAATAAGGGACTGAATTATTATACTATATGGGGTATTTCATGGGTATTTGTATGCAAGGAGCTGAAAAATAATTGGGTAATGTTGTTTGTTTTGCAAATTTCCCGCCAAAAACAGAATACAGCGATATTGCTAAATGTATAAAGCCATGCGAGCTCGAACACTAAGTTGGACACATTCGTAGTGTGTTAGGGTGAGCCCAAACTAGTGATTGATATAATGAGCAACGTCCCACACCATCGGTCAATCGTACTGTCAATATATAGAACAAAAGTCCAGTTTCCCTTGCCGAACTAGGCCGGGATTTCGTGGCTCGATCGTAGCACCATCAGTGGCTATTAAGCGTTATGTCCCTATCTTCTTGAAAGAAATGCACTCAGTTCAGGGTTTCCAGTGGTTAAAGCGTTCACTCGTCACGCCGAAGGCCCGGGTTCGATTCGCCACATGGGTACAATGTGCGTAGACCATTTCTGGTGTTCCTGAAATCCCCATCTTTAACAGGCTTCTTAACATGTAGAATATGACATCAGAACATAAAAAGGTACATTGGTACACATTGACCTAGTACCCCGTGGGTCCGGAGGAGCCTGTGCTGAAAATATCGATCACTGGATTGTGTGGTCCAGCATTGCTGCATGCGGCGTTAAATTAACATACATTGGGCTGTATGGTTGGTTATTTGTTTGTTGTTTAACGCCGCAATCAGCAACTATTCTAGCAATATGACGGCGGTCTGTAAATAATCGAGTCTGGACCAGACAATCCAGTGATTGACATCATGAGCATCGATCCACGCAATTGGATACGGTGACATGCATCAACCAGGTCAGCGAGCCTGACCACCCGATCCCGTTAGTCGCCTCTTACGACAAGCATAGTTGCCTACATGATCGAATACAATACACCCGACCCTCTAACAAATAGATTACCCGCGTGGCCATACACACTAGGTGAATACGGTATTGGTGACAATACATATACGACAAGCACAGTCGCCTCTTACGGCACGCATGGGTTGCTAGACCTATTATCATCCAAAACTGGCTCCCACGGGAGATATCGCTTGGGTGAGATTGTATCACAATGCTTTGCAAACCATTGTGACGTCATTGATTTCCATGACGTCACAATCAAATGACATCACTAATGGCTCTGCTACTGAAGCTGTAGGCAGTACGTTTTACACATAAGACACTACTGTCCACAAACTGAAAAAGTTGGTAAAAGTGTAGTTTTTCCACTTTTATCAACTCGTGTCAGCCTCGGAGTTTTTCCACTTTTATCAACTCGTGTTGATATATTTCATATCAAAAGACACTCGGGTGAGATTCTCTCTTTCTACCCCGGATCTTCACGGGTCGGACTGTCTGTACCAGTCAGTGTCTGTTTTACCAGCTGATGTTTCGTTCCATAAATCGTTTCGTTCTAAAATCCAACAGAAAACTAACCTTAATTAAATCAAGGCATTATTTGGTTGTTATTAAATCATGTCAGTTTTACACACTGGTATCACTAGTTATTATAAATACTCAAATCCTGAACGACACGAATGCGCCAACGTAATGCTGAGGTCATGCTGTCCTTTTTCAGTCTACCGCTGATCCCTGGACAGATCGTGAGCTCGGACTGCGCCAGGTTCGCCACGTTCCTAGGTTTGTATCCCAGTGTGTACCACCTTGCTGTCGACCTCCTCAAGAAATACAGAGGAATCAATGTGAGTATTCGCTGCATGTTCATGGGATACATCGCAGTCAACGTAATGAGGCGACCACTGGCTTTTGTTTGTTTGTTGTTTAACGCCTCACTCAGCAATATTCTAGGTATATGGCAGCAAGTCTGTGGATAATCGAGTCTGGACCAGACATCATGAGCATCGATCCACGCAATTGGGATGTCATGCATCAACCAAATCAGGAAAACTGACCACCCGATCCCGTTAGTCGCCTCTTACGACAAGCATAGTCACCTGTTAAAACAAGCATGGGTTGCTGAAGACCAATTCTAACCCAGGACTTCACTGGTTCCCTGGCTTTTAACCAAACTGTGTATTACAAACACCTGTACGTCAGAACGATTGTGTTGTTAGCCCAGCTGGTGGACGGTATCTGTCCCATCCTCGATAATCTCGTGTATTATATCGTCATTTTATTATAAATACCCTGGACACATTCGCCACAATAGCCTCGTTTTGAGTACCCCAATCAAATTACATTCATAAGACAAATAGAGATGTGGCATCATAGATATGCGATCGCTTTGTTCAGGTGGACCTGTGAACATGCTCTTCCTATTTGACCGCCTCTGTGGTCTAGTGGTAAAGCGTCCGCCCGGAGAGCGGAAGGTCAGGGGTTTGATCCCCGGCCGCGTCATACCAAAAGACGTTAAAAGATGGTACTTTTTGTTACTCTGTCTGGCGCATTTAGGGACTAAAACAAGGACTGGTCGGCTCGGAGTCAGTACACTGTATCTGAGTGGAGTATTCATGTCAAACTGCGGCATGGTATCTCAGTGGGCTAGCACTATAAATTGGCATCAGGACTAGTACAAGCACACACACACACACACACACACACACACACACACACACACACACACACACACACACACGTGCATGCACGTACGTCGTTATATAAGTGCAATAATCTTTGACGCGACGTTAAACCCCATTTCACTTCACTTCACTTTCCCATTTCATTGATGTTTAAAATGACATAACTATGTTACTATGAAGGTTGTCGTCAGACTGACTGTGATATTATGTCATATTTGGTCATGTCAAAGGGGCCTCAGTTGTTCGAAGCCCTTAAATTTTACTTTGCAGAGTTGCGTCCCTTTTTCGTTCTCGGTTCAAATTGATTGTCTTCCTTCATCAGCACCATACTCGTGCTCGTGGGTTTCACCAAAGTAGTAAACGTTTGGGACCTGCATCATTTTAGGCTTCCTCCCACATTAAACTGACACGTCGTGATATTACTTGAAAACATTTGTCTGTTAAAGGCAGCGTTAAATACAATTCACACACGCATGTCAAATGACTGGAATTTTGTTCTAGGATGGATGGAACTACGGACTTGCAGGGGGCTTGGCCGGCCTCACCATCATCGTTGAAGACCACAGCAGGAGAAGCGTGGTGGCTTTATTCGCTGTGGCCCGAGCACTAGGAGCTGGGGTATCGACTCTAGTGACCCGTGAACACGTCCGGAAGGTGCCTTACAGTGAAACAATGGCCTTCTGTTTATGTTGCGGCTTCCTAGTGTATTGTACGGCCTTGAGACCCAGTGTTCTTGCCAAAGGGTATTACCATTCGATCTTGAAATGGTCACGTGACTACACGGATACGAAACTGGACTTACTGTTCCGGTTGCCCAGTGACCATTTCATATCCTGTCAGGAAGGGGGTCTACACGCAGACTCGTGCACTCGACATGCATTCTGGGATTTCCTGTGCAGTCTCTCATCTTTTGTGAAGCTCTACTTGCCTATCCATGTCACTCCAATTGTCATCTTTCGCCGCCACCTCATAGTGGAGAAGTAAGCTCTTATTAATTAGCATCAACGTAAGTCCATTGATTAAAGAAAATATATGATAACTTTGTGGAATATACACGGTAAGTCATCACTGTATCAGCTACACAACCAGTTTTTACAGATATCCACGCAGAAAAGTTTGGTATCGAAGTGAAAGATCCGATTTTAATAAGACTGTCATTGTCGTCCACATTTCAAAGCTTTTGGGGCCTGGCACGTTCAACAAAGCGATCGTAAGGTTACGACTGTCGTAGGTGTTAATATATGGGCGTTACGATCGACCTGGCGGGACCCTAGGCTCCAGCGCGACGTGTTTGTTGCAAGGGGGCAGTTCAAAAGTTGACGGGTAAACACACGAATTCCTCAAGTTTGGAAACATACCTACCCCTAAAACTTAATTGTAAAAATGTTGACGAAATTTTCAGAGAGAAACACACACAGTTCATTGTACCACTGCACAAATGTTGTGGATCAACACCTGCACACAATGCAAGGAAGGTTCTGAAACGGCCCGATCCTTTATTATAGCATTTCATCTCGTTTTACCTACGGTAATGATGGCGTTCATTTCAGAGTAAAATATTGAAGCGGGGTTTAGGAACTTTAAAACTCCAGGCGAGTTTATTTTATCAGATGCGAAACTTGTACACCTGTTAATACTTTAGTTTTACAATTATAGCATCACACTTATACACGTATATAAGCATGTCAATTATGTATGACATCAAAATGTATGACGGTATAACTTTTGATTTCGGCGTTACTTCTGATATCAACCACTATCTATCTGACCATAAAGTCATTATTTACAAACCGGCAGGGTATGATTGAAATGTTGCGGACTGTGCGTAAAACAAAATTCTCTTACTCACTCACTCGACATTCACGTATGTAGGTTACTGTCTTTCGTACATCCCTGCTAAGATCCAGATAGAACTGATCTTCAGCAAACCATTCTTGTCATAAGAGGCGACTAACGTGATCGGATGGTCAGAGGGTCGTTGACTTGGTTGATGCATGTCATCGTGTCCCTATTGCGTAGATAGATGCTCTTGATGTCAGGCTCTGGATTGTCTGGTCCAGACTCAATTATTTACAGACTGCCGTCATATAGCTGGAATATTGCTGAGTGTGGCGTAAAACAACAACCAACCACTGTGTAGGTAAGCACTAAGGTTAACACATAATGGTACGGTCCCAAGTGCGTGGATCGATGCTAGTGATATCAGTCACTGGATTGTCTGGTCCAGACTCGATTATTTACAGACCGCCGTCATATAGCTGGAATATTGCTGAGTGCCGCGTTAAACAAACAAACCAACCAACCATAATGGCACGAGTGTTACTTGACTTGGCGCTTGCCTCTGTGATAATTTCAAATGTTCGACTCAACTTCCCGCTTAATACCATGGTTTCATTCTATTTTTCAGACCTAAAGTCGTCATATTGTCGCTGTTGAGGAATCTGGTCATGTCTGGTGCTTTCCTGTCAACAATGGTTATGTTGGCCAAGTACGTCATATGTCTCCAACGCAACTTCATCCGGAAGCCCCCTCCATTACCTCCCTTTGTCCCAATCGTAGCCGGCTTCGTGTGTGGTCTCGGGGTGTTGTTTGAGAGGGAGAGTAGACGGAAGGAGCTGGCCTTGTTCCTCGTTCCCCATTCCCTGCATGCTCTGTACAATATGGAGGTCAAGTCCAAGGTGAAGGTCCTATCTCGGATTCCCCAGGGCTACGTCCTGTTGTACTCCCTGTCTATGATGGTGGTTATGCATGCGTATGAACGCCACCCAGAGTCGCTCACTCCTCTCATCAACGGACTATTGCGTTTCTTTGTTGGTGGACGAAAATGTGACGGCAAGAAAGCAAAAGAAGTATAATATGAGTCCGGGTAATGTATCGGCCTTCCTGGTTTTAACACGTGTTCAGTGGCTTTGTCTGGTTGTTTAGTTTACTGGAGTCTGAAGAAGTGTTATGGTGAGGTTACAGGGTCCCACTCCACACAGCAATCTTGGAGCTGCGACAACCGTACGTCCATGTCAACATACGAGCGGTATAACAATAAAGATCGCTTTGTCTAACTGTGTCAGTTAGAGTCGCGTTGTCCTCATTTGAATCGGGTGAGTGGGTGAGGCAGTGAGTTAGGTTTAACGCCGCTTTTAACATTATTCCAGTTACATCACGGTGTGTCAGCTTAATGTGGAAAGAAAGTCCAAGTGATGCAGGCCTCAGGCGTTTACCACTTTGGTGTAACCAACGAGCACGGGTACCTAGAAACATAATCGGGGTGAACATGGATTCGAACCCACAATCATAGTTTTCTGGGTAGCCAAAGGGACGCAACTCTGAACAGCAAATCGCGCGCCTTAGGCGACTGGGCCAACCGTACCCCCCGAATGGGGTTAGATGGAACGTTGTTCATGCTATCAATAACACGTACACACACAATCTCACACTCACAAAACAGACCATCATACACTCACCATCTCACACTCACAAACACACCATCACACACACACACATTCATTCTCTCACAAACACACACCGTAAGAGGCGACTGACGTGATCGCGTGGTCGGGCTCGCTGACTTGGTTGATGCACATCATCGTATCCCAAATGCGTGGATTGATGCTCATGATATCAATCACTGGATTGTCTGGTCAAGACTCGATTATTTACAGACCGCGGTCATATAGCTGGAATATTGCTATGCAGCGTTAAACAACAAACCAAACCAAACCAAAATAGATCACTGTACCAATGTTATCAGATGTTGTTATTCGTGGATGAAAGTGGGCGTGTTAATTGGTTTACCTATATTTACTTGGATTTGCGTGGATAGCCCAAGATGTTGGAAAAATAGATAGTTTTATAATTATCCGTTTTTAAGAAAATAATCTTTGATAGTCTCCTGCAAGCCTGGATTACCGAAATGTCCAATTCCTCAAAATGTAGGTACTTTGTACAGTTTAAGTCACTTTTGAATGTTGAATTGAACCTTTCACCAAACATCCCTGTTTACTTAAGGTCTGCTTTGGCAAAATTTAAATGCAGTAACTTTGGGTTAGCTGTAGAAACTGGTGGATACACAAATATTGAAAATGCACAGAGACGTTGCTCTTTTTGTAAAAATATTAATCAGACGAATTTCATATTATGTTTACTTGAAGTAGGTATAATGTATTAAGAGAAATCTATCTAAGCAAGCATCTACCACATATAATTATAATTTTCTTTTTCTACCTACCATCTTGTAAATCTATTGGCATCTACGAAGAATGAAGTATTGGAAAGCTTAACCTGTCACATAACTTGAACAACTATGTTCTTAAGTATCCACAAAATGTAATCCACAACAAGCATGCGTCTCTAAATTATATGAATAATGAATACATTTGTCTGTCCGTCAAATCAATACAAATTACTGCACAGAAATTACTATGGCAGTACACAATAGAGTCGTACAAAATTCAATGGCAGTATAAAATACGATTGCCGTGGTCAGTATCAAATAGAAACATACGGTGATGACAGCAAAAATGAGTGATAATAATATATATTCACCCAGCGGCACCAGCGGTCAAGCTTCCGAGAGGGGCCAAGGCAGGGATCCAGGGATGATGAGTAATCCACACATGAAAGCTGGTCTTGGTGTGATGAAAGGTGTCAGAGAGTTGCGTAAACATGCTCTTGTCACTGTGTATACAGGCTCACTAGCTTCTGGAAATCTTTACACAGTGCTCTCTAGCGGCACTAGAATATCACACAATATTCCACCTTCCACGGTAGACCGGACGTTTACACGCCACACTGGCATCTAGATATAGTAATTTCCTGAGGACTGCTTACATTAAACAGTTTACCATCCAAACACAATGCAATGAGTGTCTACCGAATCTCCATAGAAACAATGTAACACAGTTACACATTGTTCAACAATAAAAATGCACTGCAATATAACATCAGAAACCTACGTTTTTTAGTCAAAACTAAATTGTTTGATCAAGACGGCCCCAGATTCTCAGCACATAATACGTGATGTCATGAGGTACGACCCATATAGACGAGGATACAGGTGATTGATTATAACTTTACCCCGACGTCGAGATTATTTCGTGTACTGCAGCTTGTTTGCCTGGCCATGGCCCATACGAGGTTTATGTCATCTCTATGGTCGAGTCTGCCCGGAGAGCGGAAGATCGGTAGTTCCATCCCCGGTCGCGTCGTACCAAATGACGTCAAAAGATTATACTTGTTGTTACCCCGCCTGAGGCTCGGCATTCAGGGGCTGAAACAAGGCCTGGCCGTCTCGGAATCAGTATAACCTCGCGTACTATGTTTTCGAGACCCTTAGAAGTATTTCTGATTACGTGGACCATGGCAATCCCAATACACTAAAATTGGTCTTACCTTTAACTTGATGCATTTCTGTTAACACTTGGATAGTGACATGGCCATGTCATTTAAATTTTATAGTAACAATGCCTCGCCGAGCTGGATGATGCGCCAATTTGGAGCCATCACATGAGATCGAGCCCCTCCATTACCTTTAGGTTAAAACAAGATGCATGACAGGGATGAGTCACATGACATTACAAACAGGAACTTTACAAACAGCAGCCGATACATCATCGGTGCACACGACTTTCTGACGCAAAATTATCAGCAGATCAAGTTTGATTAAAATGTGCATGAGTGAAATAGTAAGTTTTGAGTTATGTTTTCATTAGTTATTGAATATCTTACCTCATGTAGCTTAATTCGCAATGTGACTTCAGCGGCAAGTGGCGAACACTTTTGACGTCTTCAATGGGCTTGAAGCGTCTACCTTGATGACGCCATTAAGCGCGTGGTCACGTATTGTTTAGTTCCTCGAAAAGAGGTGAGGCTCAAAAACACGTGACGTGGGGATGTTGTGTCTAAGTGGGGTTTACATGGTAGACTGCGGCATGGGATCTGAGTGGGTTAGCAGCAGAAAACCTGCATTTGTCCGTACCAGCACACACACACACACACACACACACACACACACACACACACACACACACACTCACCAACACACACACACACACACTCACCAACACACACACACACACACACACACACACACACACTCACCAACACACACACAAACACACACCAACACACAAACACACCAACACACAAACAAAATGAGTACGATAGTCCACCTCCTGTTCTTAAGAATTTATTTCCTTCCTCGATACGGCTTGTGGCTACATCCTGGTGTACACAATGTGGTGCCGTATTTCCTCTATTCACACAACTCAATGACCGGGCCTGTTTAATGGTGGCACGATGGCAACTCACTACCTTACCGAATCGTACATTTTACACTCAGTCAAAGTGGTAGCAATTTCTCGCTGAACCGCAAAAAATATTATTACACCTGAGCACATGGAGTATGATTAGGGTTTGTCCTATTAATTAAAATTTTGAACTAAATCTAATTGGGTTTTTTTATTTTTACCTTGAAGTCATTTGGCGCGGTAAAGAAAAAGCGAAAACTTCTTGCTTTTCAACGTGAAAACATTGTTATTTCATGCTATCGCATTTTTGTCTCACGTTTACCTTCATTGGGTTAGTAATGTTAGGTGAGCGAGTGAGTGAATATGGTTTTACGCCGCTTTTAGCAATATTCCAGCAATATCACGGCGGGGGACACCAGAAATGGGCTTCACACATTGTACCCATGTCGGGAATCGAACCCGGGTCTTAGGCGTGAGGAGCGAACGCTTTAACCACTAGGCTACCCGACCGCCCCTGGTTATGTTAGGATGTGTAACAATGTATAACCTATGTGTGATGTATATATTCTGATATCATTAACAAAACAAAAACTGTGCGAGTATTGTACAGTCAAGTCCTGTTAATCCGACATTGTTGGTTGCATATGATTATCTCGGATTAACGAGTTTGTCGGATAAACAAAAATTAGGTTGTATCTACGTTCGTGATCGAAAATCGGACAACTACACGATAGATAACGATTCATAAACGTTGTAATAAAAAACGTAAAAAGGAGCGAGTTTACTGCCAATGTTGTTGGAATGATACTGCCTGGGTAATTGGTATGCTAATTTTACATTGATTTGAACAGATATAAACAGAAGAGACATTGTTGTTATTGTTGAAACTATTTTAGAACGTTTTGTTAGTTTATTTATTCTCTCATGTTATATTTCAACTACCTCGTATTGTTCGCGAATAGCTGGCGTTAAACAATAATGTATTCACTCTCTTGAAGTATAAAATCGACAAAATCGACAATCTCTTCTAAAAGCAGAGTTCATTGTATGTTGCTGACTATAGCATAAGCATGTGTTTATGAATCATTAAAAAATAGCGATGATACCAGGTGTTCGCGAAAAGGCGCCCGTATCCTGCCCTATCGGTGCCACTCGTCACAAAAACATGCAAAGGCAAATCGGCCGAAAAGTAAGAGTTTTAACAGTCGATGATTAGCCAACTTTAAAACACATCTGTGACGTCATTAAATAGTTTGAACGCTCCATTATTTTTCAGGAATGGAGAGTTGCTTGTCAACTGTACATTGAATTAATTTCCACTTGGAACACGGAACTATTATTTACATTTATTTACAAGTGAATAGTTACATTTTTCCCCCGAAAACCATGTCGTCAGTGGGGTTCGAACCCGCATCGTAAGATTTGAAAACGTTCAATTGTCAATCTCAGCTACTGCGGAACATAAAGGCCTGGTGTGTAAGTATAACTATAAGTATTAAATATTTTCATAATTTTGCTTAAAAGCTCAAAATAATATGTATATATTTTGTGTTAGAGCAGGTTACCCAAAACAATGTTTATATTTATAGCAGTTAGATAAACCTTTGATAAAAAAATAAATAAATAAGGTAATATAAATATCGCTTGTTCGGGGCTCTATATTTCCTTTTATACCCATCAGCATGTATTGACAACGTGCAAGCGATTGATAAATACTAGTTTAGGACCCAACGAAATTATGGAGAGCCGTGTACCATACATTGTAAATATCAGCTCGCGACGGAGCTTGGCGCACGTGCAACAGCATTCGTCACCACTCGCCCCTTTCTGTAACCTGCAAGAAGACTCGTCCCCCTGTCGATGAATGTTATGTGCGAAAATACGACAAACCAATCAGAATGCGCGTATGATTTCGAGTTTTTTGTCAAATAATCCCTCAGAAGTAATTTTTGATTTTACATATGTCTTGCACCTAAAAATATACCCAAGACACAGTTAAATATGTTCAATCATAATGTATAATTCCGCACGTCCCGATGTGCTTTAAATTGCATCTGAAATATATATAATATATGGGGTAATATATGTGAACCATTACGCAACGAGTTGACAATTGTTTTAGGTATGCCCGTTTGCGCTAAGACGGAACCCAGTCGCAAAAATGGCCATGAGAGGGGCACGAGTTCCCGGAATAACACGAGTTGTTCACGAATGGTGCAACAGCGGCAGAGAATGCATTCCTCGTGCATCAAGCAAAGTCGACTCAAGCAGTATAAATACAGACAACAAAGAGTTCTAGGTTTTTTTTCAAATATTTCCAACTACAGACTATTTTGTCAAAGTGTAAAAGTAGGGATGAATTTTAAGTAGGGGAATATCCTCGTAACGCTCCACTCCTTAACAATAATGGGCCTTTGCTCCATTATTTTTAAGGAATGGAGAGTTTCTCGGACATTCACCTCTGCGTATCTTCCCGTTATGACTACTGTTACAATACACAAAAGTCTTAGCTCAGTGACTGCTAACTGCTAATATCATCCCCGTCACCTATTTCTATGTTTGGAAGCTTTATTTGATTCAATATTATTTAAGACCGTAACTAATTAAATGATAATAACGTTCAGTTTGTTTGTCTGAATAAGTTAATTTTTTAAATAAGCTTCAACTTCTATCAAAGACTTGGGAACCCACAACACAACAGTTACAACACATAACAATTGGACATATAATTCCTTGGGTTGTATATACGTAAAACTTTCCTCTTCGCGAGAGGTTGTAACCATGGAAGCATTACATCTGGTCACGAATCACGTACTATCGCATCATGATGAAATGATATACTCAAAACATCACCAATAGCTTCAAAACATATGATACAAATTACTCACAGCGGCGTAAAACATCAGACAAACAAAAACAATCAGATAATTCCAACAGTAAACCGATGATTATACAGACGTTTTTGTGCATATAACTAGGAATGGGTTCGTATCAGCGTGTTCTGTCGGTTTTCGAAGATTGAAGCATTTGTGGATGATCGAACAAAGGACCATACAGTCAGTTCAATCTGCATGTAACTGTTCAGATAGTTCAGTCTGTATGCAACTTCTTTTTAGGTAGTCCACTTTGCCAAAATCACATTTCAATAGATCAGTATACTTAACATTGTACTATGCATCCGGGCTCAGAGTCATATTGTGTCCAAGCATAGAGACATACATGTGTTACATAATTATGTGTGTCCAAGCATAGAGACATACATGTGTTACATATGTGTGTCAAGGCATAGTTTTGTTTGTTTGTTTGTTTGTTTGTTGTTTAATGCCGCGCTCAGCAATATTTCAGCTATATGACGGCGGTCTGTAAATAATCGGTCTGGACCAGACAATCCTGTGATTAATGTCATGAGCATCGATTCCAGGCATAGAGACATACATGTGCTACATATGCGTGTCCAGGCATAGAGACATACATGTGCTACATATGTGTGTCCGTGCATAGAGACATACACGTGCTACATATGCGTGTCCAGGCATAGAGACATACATGTGCTACATATGTGTGTCCAGGTACAGAGACATACATGGCTACATATGCGTGTCCAGGCATATAAAAATACATGTGCTACATATGTGTGTCCAGGCATAGAGACATACATGGCTACATATGTGTGTCCAGGCATAGAGACATACATGTGCTATATATGCGTGTCCAGGCATAGAGACATACATGTGCTACATATGTGTGTCCAGGCATAGAGACATACATGGCTACATATGTGTGTCCAGGCATAGAGACATACATGTGCTATATATGCGTGTCCAGGCATAGAGACATACATGTGCTATATATGTGTGTCCAGGCATAAAGACATACATGTGCTACATATGTGTGTCCAGGCATAGATACATACGTGGCTACATATGCGTGTCCAGGCACAGAGACATACATGTGCTACATATGCGTGTCCCGGCTTAAAGACATACATGTGCTACATATGCGTGTCCAGGCATAGATACATTCGTGGCTACATATGTGTGTCCAGGCATAGAGACATACATGTGCTATATATGCGTGTCCCGGCATAGAGACATACGTGGCTACATATGCGTGTCCAGGCATACACAATGAACATGTACCTCATCGAAATATGTGAAGCTTAGGTGTAACTTCATGGCGAAAGTCCCTTGGCTTGAATTTGCAACCTGTATTAAAGGACAAGTAATATAAACATAGCAGATTTTTGAATACTTCAGGGCGCGCTTAATCACATATGCTTGAACACAAATTAAGTTTGAAAAGCGGAAATAACGTTAAATAGACGATGACAAACGACGGGCGAAATCCTGTTGTTTGACGCAAAAAATAACTATATTCACATACACTATACTGAGTGAAACGTTTTATAATATATATCAATGAGTGAGTGAACATATTAATCTGTTAGTGTGAGTTGGACTGTAAAGTATTTACAAACACGAAATAGTATCCCGCAGTGGCAAATACGCAGGTTGATATACAGTTTATTCCCAATCCTAAGAGGGGTCGACACTTGACTTTTGCCGGAAACAATTTCCCTTTTTCTCGTCAATTTCAATGGCGTGCGCTACCGGGACGACATCGTTCGAGATCGCGTTCTTCACTTTATGCTAAAAGAGGGACGTAGCGTCATGTTACAGCAACATCGTCCGAGCAGACGCTGCCCCACTAGACCACGGAGGCGGTCGCTCGCGCGTAAGCATACAATGAGTTGTAATAGATACACATTCTACAAGTCACGCATCCCGTTCCTCGGGAAGCAAACAGGATGTGACGAGTGGGCACACATTTATCCTCCTCTAGTGTAGACATCTTGAGAGTCGCTGTGGATGTGTCTCCCATGTGAGTACAGTTATCAAGTGTGTGTGTGTGTGTGTGTGTGCGCGAGCGTGCGTGCGTGCGTGCGTGCGCGCGCGCGTGTGTGTATGTGTGTGTGTGCACATATGTACGTAAATAGGTTGTGTATATACATATTAAGGAGCCGACATTTGGGGAGGGGGGGGGGGGGGAGATGGAGAGGATATATGAAATTATGACGTTGAATGATATCACTGCAATTGTTTTGCATCAACAAGGACAACGTGTGTTGACAACAGTGGTAGATTGGAATGTTATGTACCTTCAACAATGGCTGGTTGAATGTCTCGCACGGTGGACAGTTGCAGGCACTTTCTCGACCTCTTGTCGTGTACGGTGTACAAGTTTATTGTTGAATCACCGGCTATATTTAATATGCGATAATTAAATGCACTCAAGCCACTCTCGTTATTCAGTCATTAGACACTGGCTGTAGTCGGAACTTTTCTGATGACATCAATCACCATTTTGACTATCGTTAATGCAGTTAGTATTTCCAATCGGAAAAATGAAACTAATAGATAGTGACGTATTTTTTACGACCATCCTATTGAAATCTCAGTTTGCAGTCTATCAATGTTTCTTCACAGTGCTCGAACACACAGTTTGTCTTGTCCTATTCTACTCGAGCTGTCGTTTGTGATAGTGACAATTGCACCGTACTTGACGTGAGGCAGTTTCTGAATGAGAACAGGTATAACGCCTACTCAGGGCCACTGGAAAATGATGGTTACGCCTGAAACAAATCAATAAATGAAAGACTAATGAATACATTTCCGGAATGATCTCTGCGAGCAATATAATTTTAATTTTAGTTTATGGCTATGAACAATCGACTAAATAACGATGAAAAGAAGAAGAAAGTACTCGAAGTTTACTAAGTTCATCAATGAAAACCTACATGTCATAGAATATAGGATGCACACCGAGTTGTAGCAATGTTTACACGAATAAAATATTTTCATGTAATTTATAGAAGAAATTGCTTAAACAGTATTCGTGTCTGTCTCTCGGTCTGGGCTCGAGGCAAATTTCGTTTTCTCCCGTTTTGAACATATTATTTTACTGACAGTTTCTATTGAGAAGCATGACGCCACACACACACACACACACACACACACACACACACACACACACACACACACACACACACACACACGTGAATGCACGTCGCTATATAAGTGCAATAATCCTGGACGCAACGTTAAACCCCATTTCACCTCACCTGTCCAACAGGTAACCGCCTCTGTGGTATAACTAATAGAGCGTCTATCTTGTTGATACCCTGCCTGGCTCCAAATAAAGACGTGTCGGCTCGGAATTAGTATAATGTGTCTGAGTTGGGAATCCAGGTTAAGAGCCCGAACGTGGTCTATGTGACAGGGGTAGTCAATTATTCAAAAACGCACACTCGGCAGAAGAAAACGAATAAGGATTATGTGCCTGACCCTCCTACCAACATCCAAGGCATACGACATATTTCAGTCTTAAGGCTCTGTGTCATTTCCAATGAGAGTGAAATGTTAATATTAAAACGACACTGGCTGAAACATGTTATCTATATGTATTTACAAGTATATGTCATTTAACCATTGAATATCACTTTGAGAATAGTAACTCAGAGGGTATAAGATCTTAGACATAAGGGTTCCAGTCTTAGAAAATTGGTATCTTTCAATGACTGTTAACCAGTAAAACAATAACCTGTGGAACACCGCCTCGCCCCGAGTGAATTTATCATGTGTTTTATGTAAGACAGGAATTTGTCTGACATTGTTCTACGTCACATTGTACATTCGTGTGTTCTTTCGCAACTCCAATCTTTTCACTTAGTGAATAAACTATTCTATGTCTATGTGTATCACGACATAATCACAAACGGTTATTTATTTTTCGTCCTTTTATTAACTCAATCAATAAATGGTGTGTTACGATTTGATTCGACAAGCATAAAAAGTTGTATCCAATTTTATGTACAGTAAACTACGGTTTTAACGAACACGCTTATAACGAGTGAGTGAGTTAGTTGGGTTTAACGCCGCTTTAACAGTATTCCAGTTATATCACGGCGTGTCAGCTTAATGTGGGAGGAAAGCCCGAAGTGATGCAGGTCTCAGACGTTTACCACTTCGGTGAAACCAACGAGCACGGGTATGGTGCTGACAAACCTAGAAACATAATCGGGGCGAACCGGGATTCGAACCCACAATTATAGGTTTCTGACGTGCTAAAGGGACACAACTCTGCACAGTGAATCGCGGCACCTTAGACGACTGGGCCACCCGTGCCCCCCGCTTATAACGAACTGACGGATACAACGAAGTTACGTTTTTGGTCCCTACTATTTGCTGAAGTTATGCTGTATATATGCTTATAACGAACTACGATTATAACGAACTAAAATAAGCAGTCGCTTTAAGTTCGTTATAACCGTAGTTTACTTACTATGTCAAGGGTAGTGTTTCATGCCTGGAGCACCCAGTTTCGCTCGCCTCTTAACACACATTAGTTTCTTTAGTTTTTGTTCCGTCGTGGGGAGGCGGCGTCCTTTGGTTTCTATAGACATAGTGATTATATGACGCCATCTTGATTTATATCTATTTCTTTTAGTTAAGGAGATTAGAACGGTTCTTGTTCACAGACATAATGTTGAGGAGAGGAGGGAGGGACGTGAGGTGTAGGAAGGGTCTGATGCATCTGTCTGTGTCTCTGCATTTTATCACATCTGGAAAAGAGTTTACTACATTCTGGACAAGATGTTGACTCCATGGTGACTTTAGTAACACTGGGTCTCAATGAGAAGTCTCCGTTATTCATGTTGGTTCCGGTTATGACAACTATATGCATGGTTATTAAGCCGTAACACGAGCTAGAAGCCTTGCCCGTCTGACCGCCTCATCTCTGATGACATTGATGTGATCTGGTTTTAAGATGATGAATGAAAGGTGTATTTGAATTGAACTTCGAGCCTCAGGTTCCCTGATTTTAAAACATTACGATACTTGTCATTGACGGACAAAGTTTTAGGCTGAAAATGAAGCGGGCGTTGCAGAATTCAAACTCCGTTCTTTGTAAATCGTGTCCTCTCGCCACGTGTTGGCTCCTTCAAACAAATTTCACACAGGCTTCTTTGTCGTCTGCATCAACAGGTCTACCTGGAACACTGACCCCATCTAAATACAGCTCCACTGTTTTGATAATTGAGCCCTGGAAGTTGAAAGGGCATTTAGAGTAGGAACCGCTCACACCCTCTCCACTGACAAACCCAACAACGACTCGAGTTGGACAGTAAGTTATCAAATGTATAAGTCATCTACGAAGCACTCATGCCAGCTTGTCTCAGAGATGTACGGGTACAACGAATTAGCTTTCTCAAACTGTTTAGCATGAGCCAGAACCGGGGCATTATTCATTCTGAGCTTGCAGACTTTCAGGTACATGTCTTGTAGTTCTATTTTGTACTCGTTTTCACTAGCTCCAGCCATAAGTGGAAAAAGGGACTGGATCTGAACAGTTTGATACTAACATCGACTCCATTGACTAAGTGAACACATCTTCCAACAGTGGACCTGACATAGTTACGAGTTTACTTCCCTCAATGAAAGGTGCTCGATTGATGGGACCATCATTTCCTCCAGATAATGGATCTGTGGAATCAACTGTCAGCAGTTGTGTCACCAGTATCTTTCCAGAACAGTTGGGATTGAAGTTGGCTCGCCTTAGCTTCCTCTCCATAACAAAGTTTGAAGCATGGCTTTGTAAGGTTTACTCCTTTACTCGAACTGACCAATTGACCTTGAAGGTGTACCGCTATCTTTGACCATAATGCTTGACGAAACAGATCGACAGGGGGCACATGCTCTTTCTGCGCCAGTACGGACCCTTCAGCGTGGGTGTCGCTCAGTTTCACAGGTAGAGGAGATCAAGTTAGATCCAAGTAATCACCCCCTCCATTTGGCATGATAAATTCAACGGTCTGGTGTCAGTAATGGCCGAAAGTAGACGCACATTTACATGATAATGTTGTAAAATACACTTCTGACATGGAGGCATTTCGGAAAGGTCTAAACTGGATGGTAATGCCTCAGTCAAGTCGGACGTGGTGACTTTTTTCAAACTGTAGGTGTGTCCTTGAATTGTAGAGGTGATGGTTTCACCTTACCCTCACAATGCACTTTCTTGATTGTGACAATCTTGCATGCAGAAAATTGTATGCGTTAGCCTTCTGTGACTGATATCAAAGGCAACGTCCCACGCCTTCAGGGTAAACAATGAGGTCACCAAGTTAAGTCACAGTCGCTTCGTACAACTACCGTTACTGGGGATTCATTCTATAACGGGAATCGTCGGTGCAGTGAGTTGAGCTACATCGTTGTTTTATGAGAGGGAAAAAGTGCCCCTCGTGTTATTTATTAGTAAAAAAGGTTATTTTGATACCATGAACTGTATCTCTTTAACAACTTGCCAATTTACAACCATTGTCAAGATATAGAAGCTCTGAAATCGTTTTTATACCTAACCGGTTTCATAGAGCATTCCATAATTTCCTTCCTTTGCTATATCCAAAGGAAGCATGTAGTGATGCATATTTCTTAATCAATCTAAGGACTAACAAAAAGCTTGTTGTGTTACCTGATCATGCCTTGCATTTGCTGTCGACCTACTGTGTTATATTACATAAAAATAGTCTTTATGTATCATAGCTTTTCTTATGTAAGGCCCCAATTTGTCCACAAAAAGACTGATCATGTGATATACAATCATCCCATAACTCAAAATGATTGACAGAATTAGAGATTTTGCCGACTAACCTATCCTAATTTATATCATACAAGAACGTAACTGTCATTATTAGTCTACAAGAACTGATATTTTGTGTTATTATTTATATAATTATACGTGTGTTCCAACCACCAGATGCTGAACCACGGTGGAACCATGTGCGATCGAATGGCGTTGGTGATGGTCTTGATCTTTATCTTTGTATCGGTCACTGCAGAATCTACACACGGCTGTATCCAGTCTCACGATCTCCATGGAATTTCTGTGGATTGCAGGAACAGACACTTGAAAAGCATTCCTTCCGATCTTCCACAAAATACAACACGTTTAGATATGAGTCATAACAGCATTTCGCGCATTGTAAAGAGATTCCTACATTTGCCGAACCTGAAATATCTGGACTTATCATTTAATACTATCAAAATACTCGAAGAAGGAGCATTTTTTGAGGCAGCTGATTTAGAAGAACTCTATCTCAATAACAACGAGTTGAGGCTTGATTCCACCACCTACCCAGATGACGTATTCCAACCTTTACAGAAGCTTCAGATGCTCCATCTGCACAACAACGACCCCCGTTCCGAAGGAACGTATCCGGAAAAGGCCATTGCGAAACTTAAGCATGTTCAAGAACTGAAAATTGACACTTTTACCTACACCAATTTTGGACCAGGATTTTCAGAGCTTACAAGTTTGAAGCGCCTTGTGTTTGGATTTAGCCAGTGCAAACTTTCATTTCTTTATAATGACACTTTCCAATCATTTCAGTACAATGTGCTGATAGAGACACTGGATCTCCATCTATGTCCACTTACCAGAATAGGACCAAATGCATTTCGGTACCTGGCGTCCCTGAAGAATCTGGTCTTGTCAAACGCAATTACACTAACTCCCACTGAAGCGGTATCCGCAATGTATGGCCTGAGAGGAAAAAATTTAACCTCCATCAAAATTAATCATATCTTTCAATTGTTTAATCTTAAAATAGGGTTAATGAATCAGCGAATATTAGATAAAACCGTCGTTGCAAATCTGAAAGATGTCTGTGTGGAAAGATTTGAAATGATCAACTGTAAGCTGTTATGGTTTGACAGTTCAATTTTAGTTGATGGGTCCACTTTTGCTTCCTGCATTAAAGTCATTGACTTTTCAGGGAATGATTGGTTGGGAGATCCCAAAATATTGTTTGCAATATCCCTTATGCCAAATCTTGTATCCCTCAATTTGTCAGATACCTTAAGCATGACACAGCAATCTACGAAACAAAGACTTGTAGAAATATGTGCAATCTCATTCCCGACACTTGGCCTCACACTCCCAGAAACATTGGTGTATTTGACTCTCAGTGGTAAGAACTTTGGTTGTTTTTCTAATGTAACCATATATAATGGTATGTCGATGAAATATATGTCCTTGACATATGCAGGCCTTGACAGATTCAGTAGTACAGTCAGAGGGCTTCATAACCTTTCTTATTTAGACATATCAGGTAATAACCGTGCCGGAATATCGTCTTTGTTATTAGCCAGCTTTCCTATGCTTGACACCCTGATTATGTCGGATGCCAATCTTGACCTGGGAGAGGCATTATCTGAAGTACAACATGGGTTATCTTTTCTGCCTCACCTACATACACTGGACGTAAGTTCGAACAATCTTCGAATGCTCAGTGTCACCTCCTTTGAAGGCGTTCCACTGAAGTCCCTCATTCTGTCAAACAACAGATTTTCAACAATACCTTTTGACCTATCTACAACGCCCTATCTGAGTCACCTTGACCTAAGCTCCAACTCAATAGCAGCGCTTTCAACAACGGAAATGAAACAGCTCGATGCCCTGGCCGTAAGGAACAACCTATCGTTAGACCTGAATGGTAATCTCCTGTCGTGTGGATGTAAGACGTTGGACTTTATTATATGGTTGTTCAAGACAAATGTGAGAACAACGGCAGAAAATTCCTCATGTGCCAAAGACGATGGTGCCGTGACAAATACGTTCTACATATATGAACATTACGATGAAATATGGAAGCAATGTGTAGGGGGCTTTTGGCTTTCTGTGAGTGTTGTTTGTTATGCTGTCATAGTATTGGTGACGATTGCAATATTTGTAATTTATCGAAGAAAAACGCTTCTCATAAATATTGTTTTACGGATGTTTGGTTTCAAGACAACAAAGGAAGCACTGAAAAGAAAGGATTTCCCTAACGATGCTTACATCGCATATAGCGAGAACGACTACCAATATATTTGTCACACTGTGAGAGATCACCTTGAGAACCAGCATGGGCTTAAACTGTTCCTCAAGGACAGAGACACCATCCCTGGAGGACAAATTGCTGAAGACATCATCGACGGTATAGACTCCAGCTGGAATGTAATTCTAGCTCTCAGCCAATCATTTCTTGAGGATCAGTGGTGCCGCTTCATTGTCAACCGTGTAGTGTATTCCTCGTCTAGAATGCCAGCAGGGAGCATTGTTCTGGTGTTGTTTGAGGACGTGCGACGAGCGGACATCCCTCCGACCTTGCTGAACGTTGTGGAGGAGAAACAAATCTTCGACATGGAAAAGTACAGGGGCGAAGAAGGGAAACTGTGGCAAGACGTCTGTCAGTGTATTGTGATACCCAAAGACAAATAGGTTCCGTCTCGAATTCTGCTTTCGAACTACACGTACTTAAGTTGTATAAAGTGTATTACATTATTCATTATCATAATTCAAATTACTCCATGTAACAAATGTAAAATAGAAAGTAAAACATCCATCGCGTGATGTTTGTGGTGTAAGAGAAAAGCAACAAAGAGTCGATTGTACTATTCTGACTATATCATGAGTAGTGAGTGAGTGAGTATGGTTTTACGCCGCTTTGAGAAATATTCCAGCAATATCACGGCGGGGGACACCAGAAATGGGCTTCACACATTGTACCCATGTCGGGAATCGAACCCGGGTCTTCGGCGTGACGAGCGAACGCTTTAACCACTAGGCTACCCGACCGCCCCATATCATGAGCATGTGTCTGTGAATCACTATGACATTGTGATGACATCAGCTCACGTGTTCGCAAAAAGGTGAAACATGATAAACTGTTTGAATTGGGCATACTAGAAGTTGATGACTAAATAAGAAACATACAACTTCAGGGATAACAACTTCTGGTTTCTTGCGTTTAGCGATTCTTACACCGATATCAAGTTCGAGTGACCAAGTAATGAAAGGCTGCATTTTACATTTCTTCTTATATACAAACGCAAATCAAGAAGCATTTGTAAATCATGTGAAATATCATGAAACTAAGGAAATGAATAATAGGAAATACTGAAAGGAAACGGCGACGGGGGATGAAACTTTGGCAGATGGTTGATAAGAATGAACGTATTAGTGGATTCTCAGGCATTGTTCATACCGTATTTAATGTTTTAAACATTGTTGTTTGTTTTGTTTTTGTTTAACGCCACACTCAGCAATATTTCAGCTATATGACGGCGGTCAGTTAATGATCAATTCTGGACCAAACAATCATGTGATTGATCATGATATCATGACTATACACTGTTAAAAGAGAACATGTGTGTGTTTTTGTAAGCATGTGTATGTGTGGGTATTTGAAACTAATACTTTTTTTTTTTCAATTGTATCACAAAAACTCAATTTCCATAATGTTGCCAAATATCCGCATGTAGTTTTAGATTAGTTCAGATAGCTGTATCTGAGAAAGCTTCAGAAACTTCATGCTAACATAAAGATGTGCCATTGCCGCCTTTTCATTCTGACTTTCACTTTCGACTTTCGACAAGTTGTTCAAATATATTTGAATAAAATGATGTAAAATACAAAGTATTTTATTAATCTGTTTTAACACTTAATAGACGGGACGAGCATCTATGCTGCATCACAATCTTGTGTAGTTGGAAGGTAATGTTGACCCTTTAATCTGTATTATATGGGCATATTAAAAAGACAAGGTAGTCATCCGTTTCTTCGACTTTACAGACCCGTGAAGATTCCGGGTTAGACTTGGTCTTCAGTAACCCATGCTTGTCGTAGGAGGCGACTAACGGGAGATCCACATTGCGAAGATCGATTTTGTCAATTACTGGATTGTCTGGTTATTTACAGATCGCCGTCATATAGCAGGAGTGCGGCATTAAACAACAAACAAACAAACAAACAAATCCACCTTACAACTAGGGGAAAATCTTAGTAACCTTTCACTGAAAAAGAATATTCCTTTCAGAAGCCTTAGCATAGTCTGACAAGTACATCAAGAGAAGTACGTGTCAGTTTCAATTAAACGTTTACCATTTCAAACATTTATTGGGGCGGTCGGGTAGCCTAGTGGTTAGAGCGTTAGCTCGTCACATCGAAGACCCGGGTTCGATTCACGACATGGGTACAATGTGTGAAGCCCATTTCTGGTGTCCCCCGCCGTGATATTGCTGGACTATTGCTTAAAGCGGCGTGACACCATACTCACTCACTCACTCAAACATTAATTCTTGCCTATAGTGTAGAGGACCCTTTCTGCTTGAGTTTTGACACGTGTAAGAATGCAGGACGACCCCCGTCAGGCTGTGATAACCATACGATAGTAAGACAACGTGTAAACAACGTAGAACGTGTACGTGTAGCTCTCTTAATGTGACCACTGAGGTCGATATATAATAACATAATAACGGTTAAACTTTGCTAACGAACAGGACTGGCATTGGTCTTTAGCAAATAGTTCTAAAATGTTCCATTATACACTTTTCAAAAATTCATTCAGTCTAGAGTTGTATTTGTCTGCTATCACTATCAACAAATTTCGTGTTGCACTAGCCCAGTTTCGCTGTAGCTCCCACACTCTCCATATTGAGACTGGTAGGTACGTTAATACTCCACGAGAGCAGAGATTGTGCAATAGTTGCAACCAAAGATATGTCGAGAATGAATATCATTTTTTATTAATTTGTAACGCTTATGATGAACTTCGTCTTCAGTATTTACCACAGAAGTATTTTGTACATCCTACTCTTGCTAAATTTAATATGCTTATGGCGGTAAACAATGAAACTGTAATTAGAAATGTTGCAACTTTTATATACCATGCTATGAATGTTAGACTCCAAACACTGAGCCTATAAATGTTAATGATGGACCGAATATTGTACCATGGGCCGCTGGCCTACACATGTACATGAATAAAGAATTGAATATAATAACATGTAAATGTTTCATGGCATGCCAGATGTGACATGTGAAGACAATACGTCACACAGCTGACATCGGCGTGTGAAGGCAATACACCACAAAGTTGACATGTCAAAACAATACGCCACACTGCTGACATCGGCATGTGAAGGCAATACACCACAATGTTGACATGTCAAAACAATACGCCACACTGCTGACATCGGCATGTGGATGCAATACACCACAATGTTGACATGTCAAAACAACATGCCACACAGCTGACATCGGCGTGTGAAGGCAATACACCACAATGTTGACATGTCAAAACAATACGCCACACAGTTGACATCGGCATGTGAAGGCAATACACCACAATGTTGACATGTCAAAACAACATGCCACACAGCTGACATCGGCGTGTGAAGGCAATACACCACAAAGTTTACATGTCAAAACAACATGCCACACTGCTGACATCGGCATCTGGATGTAATACACCACAATGTTGACATGTCAAAACAATACGCCACACTGCTGCCATCGGCATGTGAAGGCAATACACCACAATGTTGACATGTCAAAACAATACGCCACACTGCTGACATCGGCATGTGGATGCAATACACCACAATGTTGACATGTCAAAACAACATGCCACACAGCTGACATCAGCGTGTGAAGGCAATACACCACAAAGTTGACATGTCAAAACAACATGCCGGACTGCTGACATCGGCATGTGGATGTAATACACCACAATGTTGACATGTCAAAACAATACGCCACACAGCTGACATCGGCGTGTGAAGGCAATACACCACAATGTTGACATGTCAAAACAATACGCCACACTGCTGCCATCGGCATGTGAAGGCAATACACCACAATGTTGACATGTCAAAACAATACGCCACACTGCTGACATCGGCATGTGGATGCAATACACCACAATGTTGACATGTCAAAACAACATGCCACACAGCTGACATCAGCGTGTGAAGGCAATACACCACAAAGTTGACATGTCAAAACAACATGCCACACTGCTGACATCGGCATGTGGATGTAATACACCACAATGTTGACATGTCAAAACAATACGCCACACTGCTGACATCGGCATGTGAAGGCAATACACCACAAAGTTGACATGTCAAAACAACATGCCACACAGCTGACATCGGCGTGTGAAGGCAATACATCACAAAGTTGACATGTCAAAACAACATGCCGGACTGCTGACATCGGCATGTGGATGTAATACACCACAATGTTGACATGTCAAAACAATACGCCACACAGCTGACATCGGCGTGTGAAGGCAATACACCACAATGTTGACATGTCAAAACAACATGCCACACTGCTGACATCGGCATGTGAAGGCAATACACCACAATGTTGACATGTCAAAACAATACGTCACACAGTTGACATCGGCATGTGAAGGCAATACACCACAATGTTGACATGTCAAAACAACATGCCACACTGCTGACATCGGCATCTGGATGTAATACACCACAATGTTGACATGTCAAAACAATACGCCACACTGCTGCCATCGGCATGTGAAGGCAATACACCACAATGTTGACATGTCAAAACAATACGCCACACTGCTGACATCGGCATGTGTAGGCAATACACCACAATGTTGACATGTCAAAACAACATGCCACACTGCTGACATCGGCGTGTGAAGGCAATACACCACAAAGTTGACATGTCAAAACAATACGCCACACTGCTGACATCGGCATCTGGATGTAATACACCACAATGATGACATGTCAAAACAATACGCCACACTGCTGACATCGGCATGTGAAGGCAATACACCACAAAGTTGACATGTCAAAACAACATGCCACACAGCTGACATCGGCGTGTGAAGGCAATACACCACAAAGTTGACATGTCAAAACAACATGCCACACTGCTGACATCGGCATGTGGATGTAATACACCACAATGTTGACATGTCAAAACAATACGCCACACTGCTGCCATCGGCATGTGAAGGCAATACACCACAATGTTGACATGTCAAAACAATACGCCACACTGCTGACATCGGCATGTGAAGGCAATACACCACAATGTTGACATGTCAAAACAACATGCCACGCAGCTGACATCGGCGTGTGAAGGCAATACACCACAAAGTTGACATGTCAAAACAACATGCCACACTGCTGACATCGGCATGTGGATGTAATACACCACAATGTTGACATGTCAAAACAATACGCCACACTGCTGACATCGGCGTGTGAAGGCAATACACCACAAAGTTGACATGTCAAAACAACATGCCGGACTGCTGACATCGGCGTGTGAAGGCAATACACCACAATGTTGACATGTCAAAACAACATGCCACACTGCTGACATCGGCATGTGGATGTAATACACCACAATGTTGACATGTCAAAACAATACGCCACACTGCTGACATCGGCATGTGAAGGCAATACACCACAATGTTGACATGTCAAAACAACATGCCACGCAGCTGACATCGGCGTGTGAAGGCAATACACCACAAAGTTGACATGTCAAAACAACATGCCACACTGCTGACATCGGCATGTGGATGTAATACACCACAATGTTGACATGTCAAAACAATACGCCACACAGCTGACATCGGCGTGTGAAGGCAATACACCACAAAGTTGACATGTCAAAACAACATGCCACACTGCTGACATCGGCATGTGGATGTAATACACCACAATGTTGACATGTCAAAACAATACGCCACACTGCTGACATCGGCATGTGAAGGCAATACACCACAATGTTGACATGTCAAAACAACATGCCACGCAGCTGACATCGGCGTGTGAAGGCAATACACCACAAAGTTGACATGTCAAAACAACATGCCACACTGCTGACATCGGCATGTGGATGTAATACACCACAATGTTGACATGTCAAAACAATACGCCACACTGCTGACATCGGCGTGTGAAGGCAATACACCGCAAAGTTGACATGTCAAAACAACATGCCGGACTGCTGACATCGGCGTGTGAAGGCAATACACCACAAAGTTGACATGTCAAAACAACATGCCACACTGCTGACATCGGCATGTGGATGTAATACACCACAATGTTGACATGTCAAAACAATACGCCACACAGCTGACATCGGCATCTGGATGTAATACACCACAATGTTGACTTGTCAAAACAATACGCCACACTGCTGACATCGGCATGTGAAGGCAATACACCACAATGTTGACATGTCAAAACAATACGCCACACTGCTGACATCGGCATGTGGATGCAATACACCACAATGTTGACATGTCAAAACAACATGCCACACAGCTGACATCGGCGTGTGAAGGCAATACACCACAAAGTTGACATGTCAAAACAACATGCCACACTGCTGACATCGGCATGTATGCAATACGCCACAAAGTTGACCTGTCAAAACAATACGTCACATTGCTGACATCGGCATGTGAAGGCAATACACCACAAAGTTGACATGTCAAAACAATACGCCACACTGCTGACATCGGCATGTGGATGTAATACACCACAATGTTGACTTGTCAAAACAATACGCCACACTGCTGACATCGGCATGTGTGCAATACACCACAAAGTTGACATGTCAAAACAACATGCCACACTGCTGACATCGGCATGTGGATGTAATACACCACAAAGTTGACATGTCAAAACAATACGCCACACTGCTGACATCTGCATGTGAAGGCAATACACCACAAAGTTGACATGTCAAAACAACATGCCACACTGCTGACATCGGCATGTGGATGTAATACACCACAATGTTGACATATTTAAACAACATGCCACACTGCTGACATCGGCATGTGAATGTAATACACCACAATGTTGACATGTTTAAACAACATGCCACACTGCTGACATCGGCATGTGAAGGCAATACACCACAATGTTGACATGTCAAAACAATACGCCACACTGCTGACATCGGCATGTGAAGGCAATACACCACAATGTTGACATGTCAAAACAATACGCCACACTGCTGACATCGGCATGTGAAAGAAAGTTGACATGTCAAAACAACATGCCACACTGCTGCCATCGGCATGTGAATGCAATACACCACAAAGTTGACATGTCAAAACAACATGCCACACTGCTGCCATCGGCATGTGAATGCAATACACCACAATGTTGACATGTCAAAACAATACGCCACACTGCTGACATCGGCATGTATGCAATACGCCACAAAGTTGACCTGTCAAAACAATACGTCACATTGCTGACATCGGCATGTGTGCAATACACCACAAAGTTGACATGTCAAAACAACATGCCACACTGCTGACATCGGCATGTGGATGTAATACACAACAAAGTTGACATGTCAAAACAATATGCCACACTGCTGACATCGGCAAGTGAAGGCAATACACCACAAAGTTGACATGTCAAAACAATACGTCACATTGCTGACATCGGCATGTTTGCAATACACCACAAAGTTGACATGTCAAAACAACATGCCACACTGCTGACATCGGCGTGTGAAGGCAATACACCACAAAGTTGACATGTCAAAACAACATGCCACACTGCTGACATCGGCATGTGAAGGCAATACACCACAATGTTGACATGTCAAAACAATACGCCACATTGCTGACATCGGCATGTATGCAATACACCACAAAGTTGACCTGTCAAAACAATACGTCACATTGCTGACATCGGCATGTGTGCAATACACCACAAAGTTGACATGTCAAAACAACATGCCACACTGCTGACATCGGCATGTGGATGTAATACACCACAAAGTTGACATGTCAAACAATATGCCACACTGCTGCCGGTTAAGTTTGCCGGCCGTTGGGCCGATGATGTAGCCGACGTTGGGCCGATGCAGGGCCGATGTTGGCATGCTACCTGGGCTAGTGGCTTAGCGTTCGCTCGTCACGCCGAAGACCCGGGTTTG